GTCTCAGCTATGGTCAAATAGTTACCCCCCCCCTTAAAGGGGTCAAAACACTATAAAAGTGTAAAAGTAGGTTTTAATACCAGCAATACTTTTTGGGAAAAAATTATTACCAGCATTACATTTAAAAAAAAAAATATTACCAGCAATAAAAATCTTGTCTATATTAAATAACCCAGTGAAGTTGGTATGCCGTAAAACAAACCAAACCAATATATACTGAGATAGATAGATAGATAGATAGATAGATAGATAGATAGATAGATAGATAGATAGATAAAAAATATTAGCAGCAATAAAAATTTTGTTGGCATTAAATAACCCATTGAGGTTGGTATGCCGTAAAACAAAACAAACCAAACCAATATATACTGAGATAGATAGATAAAAAATATTAGCAGCAATAAAATTAAATAAATCCATTGAGGTTGGTGTACCATAAAACAAAATAAACCAAACAAAATTATTTAAAATTTACTGAATTTTAATTAGATTTTAATTGGATTTAACTGAAAAAGTTTTAAATGAATTACTAAAAATGATTTAAATAAGTGAAACTGTTGTTGAATTAATTTTTATTATGATAATTAATAAAAACGTTAATTACAGGGTATGATGGGTAAATTGTTGCCATTTTATATTTTTAATTTTGTGCATGCTTGTTTTGTTTTGGATTTTGTTGACTGCACAGTATAATAGAGGTCAATTGGGCACCATCTGTGAGAAAAAGAGCACCATGACACAATTCATTCTGCCAGAAATTTGGAAACAGCATACTGTACTGCATAGCATTCATGCCAGAAGCTCCAATATGAACATTTCAGAGTGTTTAAGGATAGTGCAGATGATTTAGAAAGAATTGGATGAGTCTAATGGTGATTACAAAGGTAGAGCAGCTCAGAAAAATCACTCTGATTTGTTGGTGAGGGCCTCAAACTCGTCATGGAGGCTTACATTGTATTTTGAGGAGGTGGTGCTGTCCTGGGTCAAAAGGGTGGCTGTTGGAAATCCTTTGTCTGGCAACAGGACTCTTCATCATACCACACAAACTGGAGAACCCAGTTATAGCTCTCAAACAATTTCTGTGACCTCTTACACCTAACAACCGAACTCTCCAGACTGCAACCCCCTTGATTATTATGTGTGGGGTGCAGTTGACTGGGTTTTCCTGATTGTGTGGCATGGTGCAGAGTTCTTTTGCCAGTCAAAGGGTTTTCTAAGAGCCACTCTCTTGACCCAGGGCAACACTACCGCCTTGATGTAAGCCTTCCTTGTGGGAAGATGAATGGAGGCATAACATCTCCATCACTAGTGATCATTCCAAGCACCATGATGTTGACTGGATATATCATCCAAATCTTTCCGAATCTGCTGCACTGTCCTCAGATTGACATCCAAACACTCCAAAATACTCATCTCATATTGAAGCTTCTGACACAAATGCCAAGCAGTACAGCATGCCATTTCCAAATTTCTGGTGTAGTGAATTGCATCATTGTGTTTTTTTTCTAACAGATGGTGCCCAACTGACCCTACTATACTATGTTGTCAGCAAAAGCAAACGATGCGTATGTGCGAAATTAAAAATATAAAATGGCAACAATTTACCCATCGCACACGTATATCCTTAAATATATCCTTATTTTAAAAATGTAAAATGCCATCACACGCATATATCCATAACCATGGCAGATGCACATGACTAGAGTGACAGGTATATAAGTCTGTATTAACTGTTTGCTATTCTTGTTGATTAGATGTTTTCCTACTCTGATGAAATGGATCCATCCCTGGAGCGTAAGCCATTTTTAGTCATTGGTCCAGGCTGTGTATTATATAATTGGTTGGATGAACTGGACACTTGGGGTCATTTCTCTGTTGGGTAAGTGAACTTTGTTGTAATTTTGATTTTGCAATATCTTGGTTCTGCCATGTCTAACCTTTACATCTATGACCCACCATTCCACTTACATAGCAGAAAACCACCCACATTCCCTCCATATTCCATGATCGAGAAGTAAATTCCATTCAAATAGGTTCTTCCTGTAAACCACTGCACTGTGTTACAGACTCCCAAGAGGTTGTTTCTCCAATCACTACAATCTTAACCTGTTTCAAATCTAAAATTAACCATTATCTTCCCTTCTTATCCATATAAACTACGCTTTAATATAACCCTCTACCTCGAGTGGCCCACATGCCTTATATAGGGTGAACCTTACTGTAAAAATAAAAAAGCTATGATCATCACTATTAAACTAATTTAATGGTAAAGTGGCTGTCGCTTATTGCAATTCAGTATGTATATTTTATATTTGCTTGATACTATGTTGTACTGTGTTGACAGCATTTTATTGATAGACCTTGATATAGGTAATATATATTCTGCATAATGTAAGTTACCCCCACTTACTTTCCTAAAAAACGTTGCTAGCAGACGCTTCCTAAGCCTATAAATATCCTGTCATCCTCTCTTTTCTAAGATGTAAGTTGAATGTGGACAAATGCTTTCCCCACTGGGACATATGCACATGTGCACATGCATGCCAGAGTCTTACTCTTCACTTTCTATTACTATTGTCTTGGATTCCTTTTACACAATTTCACACACACAAACACGCTCACTATTTTAAAGGCTGCCTGACGATTGCATCTAGCATGAAACAGACTGTCACCTCTAAGTGTTGACTTCTATGTTCACTTTTATATTTTTATATATATATATATATATATATATATATATATATATATAGTTTTGTTGTTGCTTTATTCCTTTTATTACCCGGTCTCACATTCCAGTCTGCAATAATTGTTGTAGGATGAATACACCCAGAGACATGTGTTTTCTACCTAAACATGAACCAGCATATCTTATATATATCTTGACATTTGATAAACCAACAATACCAAAGGAAATTCAAATTGGATACACTATAGAAAAGGTAGAAAATTACAAACCAACTCTCTTGTAGTTCTTTAAATGCCAAAAATTTGGACATCATAAAAACATTTGCAGAGGGCACCAAATGTTCAGGAAGTGTGGTGAACACAACCCAAACCATGCAGAAAACTTAAATGCGCAAACTGTCATGAAGAATACCCTGCTTAGAAAAAAATCTAAAACTACTGAACAAACAATTTTAGCAAAAGAAAGGCTGTAAAGACCACCATACCGACTTCTGGATACTGAAAAAAAGACACAAATAAGAATAAAATAACTCAAGATACTTCTATTAGAAAACAAAACCTGATTAAAAGAACTACACAAACAAAACCGACCCAACATTAAACAAACTTGAAGAATTTGAAGAAATGGAGATTGAAAATAAAACTCCACAAACCAGCAAAATTCAAAATAAGTTCCACAGACCACAGGAAAAAAATCAAAATACCCACAGACAAAATAATCCAATAGAGTATGAGAGAAACAAGGGTCAACTAATGTGAATTGATGCTACTGATTATATACTATTTTCCAGCAGTCATATGACTTCAAGAAACTCACCTCCAAAGACAACAATACAATCAACATTAGAAATTACCAATCATATAATTATATTAAACAGCACACTGATAAGGCTTATGGTGGATTATCAGTAATCATTAAAAATAATATTCCACACAGTGAAATTAAGCTAAATACAAATATGCAAGCAGTTGTTATATCGGTAACCTGCCGTAAAACTATAACAGCATGTTCATTATATATAAGACCAAATGAAGAACTCAAAGAATCGAAGCTTAACAAATTAATAGAACAACTGCCAAGACCCTTCATTATAATGGGGAATTTTAATGGCCATAATGAGATATGTGGAAGCAAGAAAACTTAAAAAAAGGGGAAAATAATAGAATCAATACTGAATAAATATCATCTGTGTTTGTACTACTACTACTACTACAACAACAACAACAACATAATAATAATAATAATAATATCTGCATCCAGCAAGAGGCACACATGCTACAATAGGCTTAACAATATGTGACTAGATTATAAATGAAAAATTCACAACACCTGTGGAAGTGACCACTTTCCAATTCTCTTAGAAGACATATCAGGTGAGATAAATAAAAGAACTCCAAGCTGGAATCTGGAAACGGCTAATTGGGATGGATTTAAAACTTCATGTCTTACCAAATTAATCCCGGGAACCAATAAAGACAATGTGGATGACATCTTATATTTTACAAACACATTACTTAAGATAACTGAAAGAAATATACCAAAAAAACTCCAACTCTTCAAAACCCAACAAGCCATGGTTCAACAAGGAATGCAAGAAAGCTGTGAGATTATGCAAAGCAATATTAAAAAATTTAAAAATAAATCTGTTGTAGTAAAGAAAAGACTGTCAACGGATAGTAGCAACTGCAATAGATTTCTTCTGTTTCTTGACCGCAACATTTGTAGCCAAATCGCAGTTCAAACAATAGTCCGTCGTAACAGTCCAACAAAGTAGAAATGACAAAATGGTGTCACACAGCAAATCTCCCGAGCAAAAATGTGTGTTCCACCAGCAGCTCAGAAAATCTGCCTTTATAAGCAAAAAACAACAGCTTTGATTCATCGAGAGATTTTTCTGATCGGTCACACCATTCAGGGGAGGGGAGAACATTAGCATAGATTCTAGTCATTGAAGTAGATTTTTGCTAACTACTTTTTGTAATTTTTCTTTGGCAGATCGCACACAGAACACAAACTTTTTTTTCAGGGTAAATGATTATCTCTTTCACTACAAAATCCAAAAGAAGAAAATCTCAACATCTATAAAAATAGTAGAGCCAAAGCCAGAAAAATCCTGAAAGAACTACATGGAAGAATTATATTACCAAAATAAATAGTAAAACTAAACTAAAAAAGGTATGGCAGATGATATGAAAAAGAACAATACCCCTACTAAACATCGCATCCACAATAAGGTGAAGATTACTGACAAGAAAAATATAGTCAACAATCTAGTCGACATTTTCTTGCAAAATTCATCCTCCAAAAACCAAAGCAGAAACAGATAAAGTAAAAATCAAATTTCAAAGCAAAAATACTGAAAACTATAATCAAACTTTCTCTAAAAAAGAACTACAAGAATCCCACAATACAGCTGTTGAACCTGACAAAAATACATTACCAATTCTTAAAAGAATTACCTGAGGCATCAATTAATTACCTACTACAAATTTATAACATATGGATCAGCAGTAATATTCATAAAATATGGAAAGAAATCACAGTTATACCAATACCAAAAACTTTAAAAGACAATTCAAATGGCTAAAAATTATTGAACCATTACTCTTACCAGTTGTGTCTGCAAAACATTAGAGAGAATGATCGATGCCAGATTAAACTGGTATCTGGAAACAAACAAACTAATCAGCAGATATCAATCTGTATTTAGAAGCCCTTTAGACAGCCCAATCCGATTAGAAACATTTATCAGAGAGGCTTCTATTAAAAAAGAGCATCTAGTGGCAGTATTTTTTGATATCGAAAAGGCATATGACATGAGGTGGAAATATGACATAATAAAAGACCTTAAAAACTTGGACTAGAAGGTAAATAACTTCCTCCAAGATAAAAGATTTAAAGTCCAAATGGGTGATATATTCTCCGAGGAAAGAGATCAAGGTCCCCAGGGTAGCATATTATCTGTCACACTGTTTAACATAAAAATAACTGACATTGTCAAAAACATTAACAGCAGAACAGAATGTCCATTTTATGTGGATGACTTCCTGATTTGCTATAGATCAAGAAACATGAATTGTATAGAAAGACAGCTCCAAATATGCCTTGATAAGTTGAACAAATGAACCACAGAGAACAGACTAAAATTTTCCAAAGAAAAAACAAAATGTGTCTGCTTTTGCAACAAATGCAATTCCACCTTGACCAGGTACTGAAACTTGACCACACAGGAATCCCAGTCGTAGATGAATATAAATACTTAGGAATCATTTTCGACTGTAAACTCACCTTTATTTCCCATATCAGGAACCGAAGATCCAAATGTAATAAATCCATACAATTACTCAGAGCCATAGCACACATGGACTGGAGAATGTTATTAAAATTATATTGCTCTCTAGTCAGATGAAAACTCGACTATGTATGCTTTATACATAGAGCAACCAGGAAATCATACTTGAAAGAACTAGCACCAGCAAGGTCTTAGATTAATCCTTGAAGCATATAACATCTCTCCTGTTGAAAGCTTATATACAGAAGCAAACAACCATCTCTAAGACTAAGACGTGAAAAACTCAAACTCCAATACTACCATTAAACTATCTTCCTGCCCTCTAAACCCAACTTACAACAATACTTTTCAACCATAGTACCCTGAACTTTTGCAGCAAAGGGAAAATTTTATCATATCGTTCAGTCTACGTATGAAAGTGATTATACTAGAGAACCAAATAGACATAACGCAGATCTATAGATCGATTCTACCAACCTAAATTAATACTAGAACTTACAAGATACCCTAAATCCCAAAAACAAACCCAAGCCGAAATACTCAATATCAAAAATAAACACCCAGACCACTTTATATATATATATATATATATATATATATATATATATATATATATATATATATATAAAATGAACATTGAAGTCAACACTCAGAGGTGACAGGCTGTTTCATGCTGGATGCAATCGTCAGGCCACGAATGCTGGATTTTTCCTCGGCTATTTATATATATGGGTCAATGGTGCATTGTGGGTAATCTATTCTGGCAGTTATTTTTGCGGGAGTGGCTTGTTTGTTTATTTATTTGTTTGGATTAATTTATTTTACTTGTTTTTCATTTTCATTTTGTATTATTTATTCTTTTCAGTTTTTGATGTTTTATTAACGTAGGAAAAAAATGGGGGGGGGATTTGCTTAGGTTGCTTATTTAATGGTTTGTTTTGGTCTGGGAAGATAATTAAAGCCATTTATTTGTTTATTTTATTTATATATATATATATATATATATATATATATATATATATATATATATATATTTATATATATATATATATATATATATATATATATATATATATATATATAAAAAAAAGAAAGAACAGCAAGCTATATAATCCGGTGTTCTTATAGATATTTTATTTTACAAAATAGTGGTCAATGTAAATTTACAGAGCATTAATATTATAAATTAATTGATTTAAAATATGTTTTTTTTAAGCACACAGTTCTAACCATGTTTTAAAAATGGAAGCTAAAAGCCCGAATTTAATTTTGTGATTAAATTAAAGACATTAATTCCATTTCATCCTCACGCGAAAAATTCGCTTGAGGATGAAATGGAACTAATGTCTTTAATTTAATTTAATGTCTTTAATTTAATTACAAAATTAAATTTGGGGCGTTTAGCTTCCATTTTTGAAACATGGTTAGAACTGTGTAGCGAAAAAAACATATTTTAAATCAATTAATTTATAATATATGTATACACACACACAGATTGAGCAAAATGAAAATAAAGTCAGATGTGATGACCATCCTAAAAGATAATAAATAACGGAAAAGAATTACAAACATAGCCTCAATATATAGTACTGAAACACTTGCTATTAATCTGGCACTTGGCATAATAAACACAAACCCTTACAATAAATTCATAATTTTCTCTGAATCTTTATCTACACTAATTCCATTGAAAAATAAAAAAGCTAGTGATCCTTTAACCATCCAGGTGTTAGATAGAATTTATCAACTGTCTAAAAAAAAAAAAAGAAATAATCTTTTGTTGGATACCAAGCCACCTTAGCATAGATGGAAATGACAAGGCAGAATCGGAAGCAAAGAGAGTTATGATAGAATAACAAACCCAAAAATACCACAAACTGATTATAGGACTGTTGTCAATAAAATGATCACAAATAAATGGCAAAACCAATGGGATACCCTCACTAATAACAAACTTCTGAACATTAAATCCACCATTGGAGAATGGAACATAAAATACAACAAAAGAAGTGAATAAGTAGCGCTGACCCACCTTCATATAGGCCACACCTACATCATCCATCACCATTTACTAGAGGGTGCAGAAGACCCAACATACACTACATGCCAAGACAGATTCACGGTAAAACATATATTGCTGGACTGTATGGACTTTGACCTAGCTCGAGTAAAAACATTACCAAGAGAACAATTTGAAGACCTTTTCAACAAAACCAAACCATCCAAGATATTACATTTTCTAAGAGAAGTGAGATTGTACTCAAAAATATGAGTAACTGAACAATGATATTCCAACTATATGCAACTACAACATTAAGTCCTGTACCAAACTTATTCTACGAGGAATGATTATTTTATCTTTACAAATTTATTCTAAAATTTTGTCGGAATTAAATGACCCATTGATGTTGATGTGCTGTAAAACCAAAACAAACACACACACACATATATATATTACACACACACCAGCACACACAGATATATATCACACACACACACGTATATATTTTACACAAACACTCACATATATATATATATATATATATATAAAAATATAAAAGTAGACATTGAAGTCAACACTCAGAGATGACAGATTGTTTCATGCTAAATGCAATCATCAGGCCTGATGACTGTGCTTAGCATGAAACAGCCTGCTGCCTCTGAGTGTTGACTTCAATGTTCACTTTTATATTTACTTACGCTCTATCTCTGATATTGAGCACTTTATCCCATAAATATAGCGCAACTTAAATCTGTATTTCTTCATATATATATATATATATATATATATATATATATACACACACACACACGTGTGTGTGTATATAAGAAAACTGTAGTTTTAGCCTATGCATTTTGTCCAATATGAACTTTTTCAAGGCAAAAAATGAAATGAATTCATTGAAACAAATTATCTATAAACAACAAACAAAATTTTAGCAAGTAAAAGAATTTAAAAACACTATTGTATATTCATGTGGTCAACTGAAAAATTACATCAATTACTTTGTTTAAAGAGAATATTTTCACCTGTAAAAATATTGTTTGTATTGTTGTGTTGACAGATTCAACAGTTTTCTTTTGATTTCTTGATATATTTGTTGTGTATGTTGACTTCGGAGAGTAGTGATTCTGTTAGGAAAGGTGATATTGGTAAAAAAACATAAATGAATTTAATGAACCTGACTGGAATTGGAACTCAGCTCTCCATTATCTCTTACACCACCCAAGTGATAACACTGACTAAGCAGTCACTCTTCTAGGTATTGACAAGGATCAACATTGCTTAACTTCAGTGTTTGCTTGAGAGCCAGTGTTTTAATGTGATATACCTGTAAGCCTTTTGGTGGTAGAATGCATGTTCCAAATTAGTGAACTAACCACTGAAGTTGTCATGAATGAAGAAGTTGATCTCAAAGTGAATACATAAAAATTTCTCAGAATTAACCTGTAGAAAAAGACAATAGGAAAACTGTATTTTTAGCCAATGTGTTTTGTCCAATGTGGACTTTTTCAAGGCAAAAAACAAAATGAATTCATTGAAACAAAGTATCTATAAACAACAAACAAAATATCATTAGCAACTAGAATAATTTAGAAACTCTATTGTATATTCATATGGTCAACTGAAAAATTAAATCAATTACTTTGTTTAAATAGAATATTTTTACATGTTTGTATTGTTGTGTTGAATATTTTCACATTGTTGTGTTGAATATTTTCACGTTTGTATTGTGTTGATGGATTCAACAGTTTTCTTTTAATTTCTTGATATATTTGTTGTGTATGTTAGCTTGGGAGAATAGTGGTTCTGTTAGAAATCAAAAGAATCAATATTTTCTACATGTTTACATATATATGGTGGATTCTCCCATCATATTTGACGTATGAGGGTCAAGTAGTTCAGTTCCTAGGAACCGACAGCCAGACATAAGCACACGTAATTTGATTATAGTGGTGAAGGCTTTGTGCAGAACCAACCATACTTTTGAAAGGGCTGAATACAGAGACCTAGTGCACTACGTGCCACAAGGTCCCCAAATAACCCTCTGCAGGTTTTGAATTCAAAGTTGTCCTTCTTCTAGACTAGTTGCCATCCAAGGCTATAGAACCCAGTCTCTCCTACTATTTACCCATAGCTGGAGGGAGGAAAAGAGGATTAATACCTTTCCCAAGGGTATTAGCACATAATATATATATTACAAAAACACACAGTTCTATATATGCATATATATATATATATATATATATATATATATATATATATATATATTTTACACACACACATATTTTTGTGTGTGTACATTGTTTTTTTTAATCCTTTCACTCCTAGTAAGGCAATAAATCCATTAAGATGTAAGGAGTTACTGAGAGTTAAAGAAACAGAGAGGACTATAAAAGAATAGGATTCAAGAAGACAGAAGTTGATGATTAACATTGCATTTAAATTTTCAAAGATCGTAGTTGACAGGAAAGCAAGAAATTGTAAGAGAGTTCCACAGATAAGAAGTGCAAGAGAAGAACCTATTAGCATAGAACTTATGGTTACATCTCACAATTTCAAGACTAAAAATATGTGACCTAGTTGCCAATTTAGTACTGCACTTAAATTCATAAAGCTTGGTGTGTATGTAAAATACCAAGCCCATATAAAAAGTCAAATTACTATATTTATGGAAAGACTAAATTTTTCCTTTAAAAATCATGAATTAATAATTTTTGTGGATATATCATTTGATAATTAATGTCAATCTGCATTTACAGGTTTGTTTCTTTTTTTAAATAACTTCCATTTCGTTTTTAGCAAATTTGGTTTCTTTTTTAGTAAATTATTTGTTTCTGTTTTAGTAAATTTTGTTTCATTTTAATATATTTTATTTTTAGTAAATGTTTCTTTTTTTAATAAAATTTGTTTCTATTTTAGTAAATTTTGTTTCTTTTTTGTAAATGTTTCTCTTTCAGTAAATTTTGTTTCTTTCTTTCAGTAAATTCCATGGAAGTGATAAGCAGCAATGTCTGAAAGATTTAAGTCGAGAAAAACTTGAAATTGTCGTAACAACATTTGAGACATTTCGTGATAACAAGGTAAGTACAACTTCAACAACTGTCTTGATCAGAAAACTAACTTACCATCTACCTTGGCAGTCAAATTTTAAAGCAATGACATTTTATAAAATGTATTCAAGAGGATCGAGCACAAAATAATCCAATCTCTGTCCCATCATAATTATTTCATTTGCAAATGCTGTTCTTACACTACATAAGTGGACAAAACATTTAGCCTACTTTGGTAAATTAATTACTTTTGTTAATTTTACCCTCAAATCAAGAGTGATTAGCAATATGCTTTTCTCGGTACATTTTATGATTTTTAAGTGCTAGAAAACAAGTTACTGCCTTTTCGTTAATACTGTATTGTGGATGATCAAGCGACTTAAGCATAGTGAGGCTGAAAAAAGGCCAAGCAAAAATACTGGGTCACCAGCAAAAGATTCACCTGTCAGCACTTTTCTTAAGTTAAAAAGAATTTTTTTTTTTTTTCAAAAAGTGATCATTACTATTACAGAAAGTACAAAATGTCAAATATAAAGTTAATAATTAGTGTTGCTGTCTTTGGCTCGAATAATTGCCTCAATTCAATGTATCATTAAATGAGACATTTTCTCATAGGGAATTTTTTCCTATTCTTCTTGGCAGTAATCTGGAAGCTCTTGGAGATTGCATGGTTTTTGTTGGGGCACTTATTTCTTCAGTTCCCACCACAATAGTTCAATTATATTGAGATCAGGACTTTATGCTGGCTAGTCTTCCAAAAGTAGTCTTCCATAATATTTGGGATATTTGCATGCACATTTCATGCAATAAATGTAGCAACAATTGTGGGACAGGACTTTTAATTAATACTATCTCTGTCCCATTATAATTGTCACATTTTTATATAAATTTCCTACACTAAATGGAACAAAATTTGCAGGACAGGGGTTTTAATTAATACTATCTCTGTCTCATGATAATTGTTACATTTGTATACACATTTCCTATACTAAATGTAGTAATACACTTGATTTTATTTTAGATTATAAATGGTATTTTACTTGGAAAGAAATGTTAACAGTTCTTGAATTTAACTTTCTAACCCTTCATATATAATTATAATTCTGAGTTTAAATGAAAAATCTTGTTTTCTGTCGAGGTTGGCTATTCTTGAATTCTCTTCCTGTTTGTGATTTTATCTTTTCATTCAGTGTGAACTTTATTTTCCTTTAAAAACAGTGTTTTTGATTTCACTTAATTCAAATGTTTTTGCAAATTTTAGGAATATTTAAATAAAGTGAACTGGGCCGCTGTGATTGTTGATGAAGTTCACAGGATTAAAGTAAGTATAAGAAGTGGAAAGAAATGAATGCCTAAACCCTGAAAAGAACTTTTTCCTTTTTTCTTTCTTTCCTTTTTTATTTTTCTTTCCTGCCTTTTTTATTTTTTCTTTCTTTTACTTTCTTTTTTATATCTTTTATTTTTATTTTTTCCCTTTCTATTTCTCTTTCATTTTTATCATTTTATTTTTCATCTTTATTTTTCATCTTTCTTTATCTTTCTTTTTTATCTTTTTCTTCTTTCTTTTTCTTTAACTTTTTATTTTTCTTTTGCAACTTTTTATTTTTTAATTTTTTATTTTTCTTTCATTTTATATTTTTTATTTTTTATCTATTTTTTGTTCTTTTTATCTTTTTCTTTTTTTTCTCTTTTTTTTCCTTTGTCTTTCTTTATTACTTTTTGGTTTTTTTTGTTTTTCTTTCTAATTTTATCCATTTTCTAATTTTCTTTTTTTACTTTTTCATTCTTTTTGTCCATTTCAGAGATACTTATATCTAAGATTCTAGCCTTCCTTTTTCTTGTATTGGGTTGGCCAACCCAATTTCTCTGTTTGGCTTGAAATTGAGTCCGAAAAGATCTTCAAAATATCTCATCATGATTACAATTTTGACCTGGAAAATGGTTTCATAAACAGATAATATAATTTACTCAGGCAAAGATACATTGAAAAACAATACTCTTTAAGTTAGTCTGTGTATCAGACACTTTTTGGTCATGAAAATTTTGTGAAATTAGATAAAAGATTTTAAAACACTTATTATAAATAAATAAATGTTTACTTGCATTATTTACATTATTTGGACTGTTATCCTCATCTTCATTGCCATATTCACAACATTTCAGTCGTCATATGCTCCTGCCTTTTTCAGATGATTGGAATATCTGTCTATATCTCTGAGATGATTTCTTACATCTTCATTGCCATATTTACAATATTTCGGCTGTTGTATGCTCCAGTCTTCTTCAGGTGATTGGAATTTCGAACAGAACCCTTTATTTCGTCCACCAGGGTAGATTGTTCTAGTTCCACATGCCATGCTGCTTCCAGATGTCTCAGTTATTTCTGTTTCAAGAACACATGGCTCAGTGGATAAAGATGTTGGTTAGATCCAGTGACTAGACCAAAAGAGTTGTGAGTTCAGTACCAGGCTACAGCAGTGGTGAACCAAAACTTGGAGAATTGAGTTAAAGGGAAATAACTGAGGAACTAGAACAATCTACCCTGGTGGATGAAATAAAGGGTTTGATTCAAAATTTCAATCACCTGAAGAAGGCCGGAGCATACAACAGCCGAAACATTGTGAATATGGCAATGAAGATGAGGATAACAGTCCAAATAATGCAAGTAATCATAATACCTCATCTCAGAGATATAGACAAATGTTTAAACTGAATTTCATAATTTTTAATTTGCAGAGTCTAAAAGCTCAAACTACCCAAGCTCTGAGGAGCATTGTGTGCAAACGACGGTATGGCTTAACAGGAACTGCTCTTCAGAATAACATGATGGAATTATGGTGTATTTTAGATTGGTAAGTTGTTAGTAATTTATTAGTATGTGCTTGTAGTGTAACAAATATTCATGTGGAAAATGAAATTGGTGAGTCAAGTTCAAATACTAGTTGTGTTCACTTTTATACTAATGCCCTTGAGGAGGGTAACAATTTGTCCTTTCTCCTCAGAGTTCTTAGTTAAATAGGAGGGTATACTGGGCTCTCTAGCTTTGTCTGGCAATCATTCTAGAATAAGGAGAACTCTGAATTCCAAACAATGGAGAAGGCAAAGGAAAACCAATTCACTATCTTTCTGATGATTTATTTGTTTTTATGGTTTATCAACCCATTGTTGGTTATTTTTTTTTGTAGCATGAATATTGCATTAACAATTTTTTGAGAATAACAATGATTTTTTCAGATACAAGTTCTACTATTTAACCCATAGCAGGGGGTGGAATCATATTTTTCCAAAAGAATTTGCATGTAAGTGAATGTAACTAGCTGAAATTAAGATGAAATGAAAATTAAGGATTGCTTCAGATTTATTTGAAAAAATTTGTCATTTTTATTTACAGGGCCTGTCCAGGATATCTTGGTTCTGCAACAGAATTCGAAGAAAAGTATGTCCTGCCCATTGAGCAAGGACAAAAACACAATGCAACTAAACGCCAACTTGCAAATGCTAGGAAATGTAAGTAGATTCATCAGCCATATCAGGCACACTTCTTAAATTACAAAAAAAATTACTATTGGGTTGTCCAGAAAGTTCATGCCGATTTTTAGTTATTCATGTTCCAATACATTAGAACATGTCAAATCTATTGACAGAGCTAATGTCCTTTTGGCTTACAATTCATGTTTTCATTAACAATTATCTGACAGAGTGTGACCAAAAGGCCATCTGTCAAATAATTAGTCACTGTTTATTGTACCTTTTATGGACAACAAATAAGACCATAATCCTCTGGGATTTACATCATTTAATTTCATTACCATCAAGTTGAAGTTTAAGGAGGAAAAAAAAAACAATAAAAATTATTGGTCCCAAAATATTAAAGTTTTTGTGCATAATTCAGATAAGGGAAGAAAAAGATTGTAAAGGAATGCATTGATAGAAATAAAGATTTGAAAACTGTAAACAATTTGGCCAAACATTTGTCACTTCATCAAATCCAGTTATATTCTTTACAAAATATTTGGTTATCCAGAAAGTTCATGCAGATTTTTAGTTGTTCATGTTCCAACACGTTAGAATGTGTCAAATTTATCAACATTTATCAAATTTATTGCTTACATCAGTATCTCTTGAGAAAAAAAATGTTTAAAATTACTTAATTCATGTCAATTTTGCATCCCTATGAAAATGAAAGATTATAAGGTCCATTTTAGACACTTGATGTATTTTTTTACCGTAAAGACAAAAATGCCTTGTAAGCAACAAAAAAGAGATGTGCAGTATATGGTGAAGGTGCTTTAGCTGACAGAACTGTAAGGAAGTGGTTTTCTAAGTTGGTGATTGTAGCTTTATTGAAAAAGAACAGTCAGGCAGATCCACTTCAAACTATCTCTTGAGAAAAATAGTTTAAAATTACTTAAATCATGTCAATTTTGCATCCCTATGAAAAATATTATAAGGTGCATTTTAGACACTTTTGTGGGTATCGGAAACGGTATCAGAATTGGAAAAATTTGTGCCTATTTTCCGATTCCAAAAACGATTCTTTTAAATTTTTAACTTAATTTTCTGTTATTGGTACTAATTTTTTTTTTTTTTTTTTTTTTTAAACATTTCACCCCAAGCAAGGCGGGAAGCCACTAGGATGCAAGGGGTTACAGAAAATTTAGAGCAAGATCAGATAGGAGCGATAGAAGAAAGGATGAGGAGGAGGGTAGTGGATAGATCAAGGCAACTGGAGATGTCGATTGACATTACACTTGAATAGCTGGAGATTATAGCTCTCAGGAAAACTGGAATACGGAAGGGAGTTCCACAGGCGAGATGTGCGAGCCATGAAGCTATTAGAGTAGAAGAGACGGCTACATTTAGGAGTTTCGACAGTGAAGGGGTGAGAATGGGATACCATCCTCATAGGGCGCTTGAACTCATGACGTCTGGGAACCAGCAAATGCAGCTCCTCAGAGCAATTACCTTGAAAGTATTTGTAGAACGGAGGGAGGCGACGGCGCATCTGTGAGAAAGTGACTGTAGACGAGATACCAGAGCAGGACCAACTACATTGCATATCCGCCTCTGGAGCCTATCAAGAACCCCGAGGCAAACAGAAGAGGCACCAGACCATATATGGCAACAATACTCCATGCAAGGGTGAATTGTTGATTTGTAGATCTGGAGGATCGATTCCGAGGAGAAAAATTTCCTAGCGCGGCACAGGGAGCCAACTTACCTTGTGGTGGACGGAGCAATTGACTCAATGTATTTATTCCATCTCAGGTCAGTAGTCAACGTGATACCGAGCAGCCGCAGAGAGTTGCTCTCGAGAAGTTGAGCGTCAGACATTCTAATGGAAGGCAGGGAAGGATATCTGTGGTGGTTAATAGAGAGCAGTTTTGTTTTAGAAGTGTTGAAGTTGACCAGCCAATTCTTGCCCCAGTTCACAACCGATTGGAGGTCCTTTTCGAGACACACGGCCAGGTTAGTTTTGTCCGTGACACTAGATTTGTTTTTGAGGCAGGAATAAATTGTGGTGTCATCCGCGTAGGTGCCAACTTTGGAATTTATGGCGTCAGGAAGGTCATTTATGTAGATAAGGAATAGAGTGGGGCCTAGGGTGGAGCCTTGAGGAACACCTGCGTTCGTGGGATAGGAACTGGAGGAGAATCCGTCGAGAACGACCTTCAATTCAGTTTGACAGGAATGATTGTATTAGGTTATACAATCAACCCGTAATCCCATAACCCTGGAGCTTGCAAAGAAGGCCGGCATGCCAAACCCTATCAAATACTTTGGAGATGTCTAGGGCCACGGCATGGGCTTCCCCGTTATTTTAAAGAGCTCAGTAGACAGTTTCATTGATGGCCATAAGCACATCAGCTGTAGATAGGGCAAAACGGAAACCATATTGCTTGTCTGAGAGCAGATTATGGGATGTGAGGTGGTTAACCACCTCGGTATTGATTATGGCTTCGAAGACTTTGCCGAAGAGGGAAAGGAGACTGATAGGACGGTAGTTGAAAGGGTCAGAGGGGTCACCGGAGTTCTTGAAGACAGGAACGATCGAAAAGGACTTCCAGCAGTCGTGGAAAACAAGATTCCTTGAGGCAGTAGTTGTATAGTTTAGAAAGGGCGGGTGCCAGTTCAGGCGCACATTTCTTCAAGACAATAGCTGTTATCCCGTCACCACCACTAGTCTTGTTGGGGTCTAAATTGGAGATAACGCCCAATACCAAAGACGGGGTTATGTTTAACCCACTCAATAGGGCCTCAGTTCTAAGAGGGAAGTCAGGTATGGGTACACTGGAAGAGTCGAGCGTCGAGTTGAATGAAAATTTCCGAGCAAAGCATTCAGTCTTGTCAGTAGAGGAGGTCAGGACTTTGAACTGGTTGAACAAAGAAGGTATAGAGGGTTTGCAATTGTTCAATACACTCTTGCAGAGACGCCAATAATCTTTGGATCCAAATTTGCGAGATGCAATACGCTCCTTCATCCGAGCCACAAATAGTGACTTAGCATCGTTGAGGGCACGTTTACACTCATTATGGGAAATGTTGAGGGGCTTAGGTGATTTTTGAGTGGCTGGATTAGGATTACTTTTTTGGTCTTTGTAAGTCATGTAGAATTATGGTTGGAAGATGAGAAGGCTCAAAGTAAAAGAAGCAGACAATTTCGACCGTGACGTGGGCAGAGAGGAGTTGGCACAACCTGCATCATAATGTGGCCTTAGGGTTGCCCACCGGAGGTGACTGCAGGGACACGTTTCCATGCGCGACATGGCACTACAAACACCCCCGGTATTATACAACTGTTGATCAGAACGGCCGCTCAAGACGCTACGCAAGATTTAGGGCTCCTAACTACCAGTCAGAAACAGCAACCAGAGAACTGTCAACCGTGTACCCTCAGAATGAAGAGGTAATGCCACAGACTGCACACATCACGGGAGAAACAGAACTGTACTAATACAGAGGCCAGAGAGAGAAAGAGTACCGGGAACCCCTTCCTAAACAAGAAACAAGGTGTAAGCCCCTAATGTCCAAGAGAAGGGGCAGGAGTGTTGACTGTGTTGACCGGGCGGTAGGAGAGACTACCTACTCCTATTACATATAGACACAAACAAGGATGACAAAAACAGAGGGAAGGGTAGTGGGGGAGGTAACAGGCAAAGAGTCCAGGTTGACACTTGGATATACCCTTTCACAACACCAAGTTTTAAGTTTTAACTTAGTATAAGTCCCATTGTCTATTCTAAAAAGAAATTGAAGAAAATAAGGTTACCCGGATTTATTATCGCATCTAGCCAGGGACATTCAATTTTCCATTTTTCCTGATTTTTCTTTGATAAATATTTATTGTTTTTAAATTATCACTAAAACTAAAATCATAATAACATCAAAATACGATGTAAATTTATTTTACTTGTATAAAGAAAAACAAAAAAATAAACTTTGCATAAATTCTCTAGGTAACCTTTAAAAGAATGCAGTTGATTTACAATGTTCTGAAAAATGCTTAAAAATTAAATAGAACATTTTTGTTAAGAAAAATATTTTCAAACATCATTGATAATTAAATAATACCCAGAAAATGATGCAACGGAAAATTGGACACCGGAAAATTAGCAACAGAAAATTACGTCAACCATGAGCCAGTCGAGACTGTCAGATCTTACTGTGCTGTCCATTGAAAACGAGCTTACAAGACAAACTGATTTTGACGATGTCATTGACCGGTTTGCCACAATGAAAACAAGAAAACATTCATTCTAAGACCATAGTATCGAATGTCATTCTTTTGTGTATTGCCGTGTTTTGTATTTAGTTGTTCTAAAAGTGAACATTAGCATTTTAAAAATCTTTTGATTTGAACTGATTATTTTGTGGTATTGGATTTTGTCTTGGATCATACATGTAAACAGTAACGTACCGGTCAGTAGAGTAAAGTAGAGGTAGAGCATGTATGAAAATTTAGCTACAGCTAACCATTCAGCATAGGGTGAATCAGGGTCATAGAAACACTAAATTTATCAAAATCCACCATCCATGATCACTTAGTGAAGCTTGGGTACTCAAATCACTATGATGTTTGGGTACCACATGACCTGAGTGAAAAAACTCTTTTTGATCGCATTTGATCTGTGATCTGCTGTATAAACGCAATGATAATGCACCCTTTTTGAAGCAGATTGTGATGAGGGATGAGAAACGGATAGTTTACAACAATGTTCAATGAAAATGTTCCTGGGGTAAGTGACATGAACCAAAAAAAAAAAATGTACCTGTGAAACTTGCCTCTGTCTGCCAAAAAATATTATATTTTTTTATTTCTCGAACCAGGTATCCTTCAGGAAATTTTGACTTGAACCCTTTATTTAATATCTGAGAGCATATTGGTATCATTTCACTGTTCATGTCTATGGACTCCTATCTGCTAGGAACAAATTATACTTTTTCACTGCTTATGTTGAGATGTGTGAATATCATGAAAAGATGAGGTTTGTGTACAGAGTTCAAATTCCAGCTGAGGACATTGCATTTGCTTTCACACCAATATCCTTGAAAAGGTATGAATCCACCTCCTTCCAGTTAGGGGTTAAAAGAAATGTTTCTTTAGCTTTGGGTGTTAACCATTCTAGGTTATAGACACACCATTTCTGCTACAGCTGCAGTACATGTTGTGTCCCTGCAAATTTGGGTGACTCATAAAGTGACTTGACTAGTGATGTACTAAAAGTTTATGTGCATAAAAATTTGTTTTGAAAAATAATGTAAAATTTTTACTCATTTTCTCAGACCAGTATTGGATGTTGTCATCACAATGTTTCAACTACTGTACTGTTGCCTTCTTCAGATGTTGTCAAGGTAGCCTGTTAGGAATTATTTTTATACACTGTTCTCACTTTAGTTGTTGCCATCACAATGTTTCAGTCATTGTACCCTCTGGCCTTCTTCAGGGGTCGGTCAGTGTTGATAACTTTCCTGGAATTTCGAACTGAACTATTTATTCAATTCTTGGGAATAGGTTGTTCTCAGGCTGTTGCCCATACTAGAATATATCTTGTATCAGTTAATTCTTGCTGGTTTATCCCGGTGATGCCGCTCAAGTCTTTGTGGGAAAATGAAAAAAAATTGATTAAATAAATCAATAATAATGAATAATAAAGAAAAAGAAATACATTTTACTATAATGCTAAGAGTAAAGGAACCAGAAATATGATTACCTCACTTGATGCCGAAAAATGTCATTAGTTGGTGTTGTTGAAGCCTATAAAAAGCCAAACTTTTTCTCCCTCTCTTCTTCCTCTTCGCCCCAAGATACTGACCATGAGGTAATAACATTCCCATGGGGAACGTTGCTTTCCCCCATCCACTAACAACTAAACTCTCTTCCCATTTTCCAATGCAAGATGTTTGCACGTTTCTTCCAAAACCTCAAGCATTCAAGCATTCTCTTTGCTTGTTCCAACTCAAGTCAAGCATTCTCTTTGCTTGTTCCAACTCAAGTCAAGCATTCTCTTTGCTTGTTCCAACTCAAGTCAAGCATTCTCTTTGCTTGTTCCAACTCAAGTCAAGCATTCTCTTTGCTTGTTCCAACTCAAGTCAAGCATTCTCTTTGCTTGTTCCAACTCAAGTCAAGCATTCTCTTTGCTTGTTCCAACTCAAGTCAAGCATTCTCTTTGCTTGTTCCAACTCAAGTCAAGCATTCTCTTTGCTTGTTCCAACTCAAGTCAAGCATTCTCTTTGCTTGTTCCAACTCAAGTCAAGCATTCTCTTTGCTTGTTCCAACTCAAGTCAAGCATTCTCTTTTGCTTGTTCCAACTCAAGTCAAGCATTCTCTTTGCTTGTTCCAACTCAAGTCAAGCATTCTCTTTGCTTGTTCCAACTCAAGTCAAGCATTCTCTTTGCTTGTTCCAACTCAAGTCAAGCATTCTCTTTGCTTGTTCCAACTCAACACAAGGCTGACTTGAGCATAAACATAGTAACAATGCTCGTACTGCTTTACACTACACCTGGACCAAGATAAAGGTAATGGACATCCCATAAACATGTTTAAATCTTTCAGTGATAAAGTAAGTAGAAACTTTCCTTTGGTTGTTCCAACTCTGTGCAATGCTGTCTTAAGCTTGACTATGAATACGATACATATACTTACTGTTGTAGCATACCTATGGACGATAATGGGCATGTCCCCATTTACATAAATACAGTAGTAAATACTGTATGTTGGTCTGCAGTTGGAGATTCATTGTGGAATTCACTTGAGTCACTTCTAGCAGTTGACTATTTTTACGTGCTGCTGGCGAATCTTATATGTGTTGTTCATGTCCTAAGTATTATCGTTCATTACCAACCTACGTGTGATTATTCTATTCAGTAACCTTCCCTTGGTTACAACACTTACCTACCATAACTTCTGGACCAGAATGAGAACAGACATACCAAAGAGACACAGAAAACTTTGTTCCACTACAGTCACCATAAAATATATAAATGTCTGGAGTAGAAACTCAAGCTTTTGTATGCTTCTGTCTTCCTTGTTTACATATTGAACACGCACCTTCACCTAAAATACACACCAATTTGTTAATCTCCATATCTTTGACTGAACAAAGAGTATATTTTTTGCACTACCCAACCCAAGGATTGAACTCATGACTACTACGTAACTTGACTCACTTAAGCAATATTTTTTTTGGTATTTCAGGTAAACAGATGTTTTCAGTGATTAGAAACAAAATCATGATTCGTCGGACCAAGAACTTGATTTCTGATCAACTTCCCAAAAAAGGTAAAGTTAACTTTCATTTTAGAGTTCTTCAATCTCATTTACCCACACTGTGGTTCTTAATTTGGTAAGCAAATTTGTTTGTTTGTTTTTTTTTTTTTTTTCAGTTTTTTGGGGTTTTTTTTGCCATTCTATAAATTGTTTTTTTAGAGAAAAGAAAAAGCAATTTTATGTTTCTTTCCTTGATATTTTTATTTAAAGCTTCCTTATTTACACTATTTATATTTGTACTATTGTCCTTATTTTTGTTGTTATTATCATGTTTCAACAAATGTGCTCTCCGGCCTTCATCAGAATTCCCTGTAGTTTACCCATATCAATATACACCTGATGAAGGCCAGAGGACACAATGGCCAAAACATTGTGATTACAACAAAGGTGAGAACAATAGTCTGAGTATAAAGAGTTTAAATAATAACTCCTCATCCCAGAAATTAAAGATTTCGTATTTTATATTTTCAACAAGCAATAAATTGTTATTAATTTTTGACTAGTCTTTCTTTCATCTTATTTTGTTGTTTGTTTATACCTTTTATCCAAAATTTTACAATTCTCATTATTATCTTTTGACTTTGATCTTTATTTTTGTATTAGTTGTTTACTAATACAAGACCTAAGAGCCACACAAGATAGTGAGTTACTAATTAAGGTTGATGCATGTAAGAAGAGAAGCTAAGGAGTGCAGCTTAAGAGGATATTTAGGAAAGACTAGCATCATGGCCTGGTGTTGCCTATGCTTGATTCAAAAATCATACAACTCCTACAGAAATCGCTATCACTTGACTTAAAATATTTTTGCCCTTCCTTGCCTTTAAAGGAGTACCCTTTGCCGTGCTGATGTTGCTACATGCCTTACTTCTTGCCTATCTCACACTGCAAATTTTTTCTAAGCTCTATACTAAACATTAAATCTGTTACAAAAAAAGAACTAAACAAAATGAACACAAAACGATCAGCTTTAAAAAAGGACTCATAACTGGAAAAACTGAATAAAAAAAGAATGTTAACAACAAATACTTTTTCACACCCAACCCAGTTCTGTGGAATCAGAATCAACATTGAATTTAAGCAAGCGAATGAGTCAATTGGAGTAAAGTGCCATGCAGGTTTAAATTTTTTCCACTTGTGACAAATGCAGCTATCGATTTTTTTTGCATGCTAGCATGCTAGTTAACATTCGTGTCAGTCAGCTGTTGGCTCTCACGCTGGCCAATTGAATCTTCCTGCTTATTCGTGGCAGCCAGCTATTAGCTCTCACTCTGGCCAGTACAAAATGGCTGCAAACTACATGAAAACTGCTGTAGAAGCATGAAAAAATTGATTATTTCCACTATCAATGGAATTTGGGAAATGCAAATTCGGTCTTTGCCTTCGCGCTAACTTGGAGCATGTGCATGTAAATTTTGGTGCAAATCCATCAAAAATTGCAGCAATGGATTCATTACACACACACACATGCACACACACACACACACACATATCCTGCCTTTTATAGATAGAGATATTGGTTAGCTTGAGACTTTAAGATTGTAGTGATGAGGAAGCATCATCTCTGAAGTCTGTTTTTCAAAGGAGCAGTCTTTGACAACAAGCTGTCTGAATGGTACTTCCTAAAGGAATCTGAAGGGAATGTGATTGATTGATTCCAGTGTAACATGGTATGGAGGATTTTAGCTGTGAAGGTCAAGGCTAGTGGAACTCTGGAATGTAGCTCACTGGAACATTTTCCATGGGAATAGTAACAGAGTAGCAAGAGGCTTACAACATTTCATCTGTGCGGAAAGGGGTTGTAGAGTGGAAAGTAATTCATCACCCATAAGGCCATGAAGACTCTTCTGAAGGCTAGAAAGTGATGACTGGGTAGCTCTAACTCAAATATGGCAATAATACTCCATTTTTGGTCTAATCTGGCTCTTGTAAAAATAGAGCATAGCAGGAGGAGTCAGATACTTTCTGGAGTAATACAGGAAACTGACCATTTTTCCAATGTTTTTCCATCCTTGGTATGACGATAAGTTACATCTGCGTTCTGGGTAACACGATAAAATACGTCCAACAGCAAGGCCTCTGATCAGGAGGTTTTGAGAAGCGTGGAACCACCTCTTAATTGCTGGTGTTCCCAGGTCTGCCCTGACTCGGGGTGGTAGCACCTGTTAGGTTCCCAGCTATGGGCAAATAGTTAACCCCAAAACTGGATTAAAAACACTATGAAAGTGTAAAAACAGGTTTTAATACCAGAAATACTTTGTAAAACAATTATTTCCAGTAATAAATTTTTGAATAAAAAAACTATTACCATCTATATATTTTTGAGGAAAAAAATATTATCAGCAATAGCTTTTTGGAAAAAATTATTACAGCAACACAAAAAAAAAAAATATTACCAGAAATAGATTTTTGACAAAACAAAATATTACCAGCAATGAGAATTTTGTTGGCATTAAATAACCCATTGGGGTTGATATACCGTAAAACAAAACAAACTAAACCAATGCAATGTTTTTAATAATGGATCGTATATATGAGTTCCACTTGAGGTCTGGGGTGGATTTGAGTTTTAACAGATGTTCAAAAGCAAGCAGCCTCCTTGAAAGAACAACCATTCATCATGATAAACAAATGTTCAGAGTCTGCTTGATGATGTTGAACCGTTACCAGTTTGGTTTGGGAGTTGTTGAATGTTACAAACCAGATTTTTTCCCCATTGAGCTGTTACAGCTAGGTCAGAGGAAAGGTCAGCTGCCAGGTGGGAGGTGGAGTGGGGGGGATAAAACTTTCCATACCAGAAGAGATTCATTCAGAAATTAAGTATTTTTTCTTACTATATTATCAGTATCCCCTCTTTTGGTTTTATGCATCCTGTCAATGAGCATGTCTTTTGTCCTGTCATTTCTCTTATTTTATTCCTATCTGCCTTATCTGTGATGCACATTCTTTCTATTTCTGCATACTTTTTATTGAGCCACTTCTCTTTCACTTGCCTGCATTTGTTCCTAATTTCTTTGTGCAATGTCCTATATACTGTGCCTTACATAGGCATTGTTTGCTGTCTCTTTCTCATCATGTTGAAAATTTCCCCCATTATCCATTTCTTTTTCCCTTGTCTAATTTTCTTTGTAACAATCTCATTTACTAGTCCTACTTAAAGCTTCTCACTCTGAATTTCCATTCTCATTTAGTTCCTTGTATCTGCTTTTAACACTGTTATTATATATCTCTTTCAAATTTGGGTCATTCACAAGTCTGTTGTATTGCAATTTGGGTGCTGCCTTGGCCCTCTTCAACTTCTGTAGTTTCCCTTGATGATGACATATCACTAGAACGTGGTCATTTCTACAGTTGGCACTTGACTATGTTTTACAATGTAAACGGTATTTTTGAATTTCATATTGATTGTTATATTGTTGATTTTGTTCTTCATTTCTCCTCTTGGGCTTTTCCATATCTATAAACATCTTGGGTGTTCTTGAAACCAGATGATAACTAATACCTAGTCATATACCATGTAGCTTTAGACCCGTTTTTCTCCATATTCATTACAGGTTCCTCGCCCAAATTCATCAACTATTTCACTATTTACCTCTTTCCCTACCTTGGCATCCAGGTCCCCCATGATGATTATAATTTCCTATGATTTGTATTGAGCTTTGGCCTTGGACATCACTATCTTCTGTACTTTGTGCTGTTGATGCATTTAAAGCTTGGTGGATATATTAAAAGGCCTTCTTTCAAGTATAACAACAAGAATTCTATCAGATAGTTGATAATACCTAGAATACAATTCTTCATATATTAATCTAGTAGAAGTCCTACTCCTCTCTTATTTTTCTCTCTTTTTGCATAAATTTCCCTGTGTATATTGTTGACAAAATCTCTATTTTTCCAACTAGTTTCATATACACCTAAATAATAACATTCAGCCTATTCATTATATTTATTCATTACTTTATATTTTCTGACCACATTGATTTAGTGTTTTCAGGTTTTATATTCCTAAAACTAATAACAATGGTAACATTAGCCATTTACCTAGAAGAAAACATTCAGCATCCAGTGACCAAGCGGCCAGTACTATTGTCAGTTGAAATCTATAAAATCTTTCTCTTAAAACAATTTCTCAAGTCCAGTAGCTGTTATTGCTCTTTTGACTATTGATGGCAGTTTCCTTCTTAACCTTTTATTTGAAGTAGTGTGGAATATCAACATTTGATTATGTCATTATTTTCTCTTTAACATGTGATATCTATTTTAGCTGTTACTCTTTGTTATAATGGTTAATAATATTCCAAAGGAAAACATTGGAACACAAGATTAGTGAAAGAACTGTTTAATCATGTGGATTAATATTACAATACTAACAAATATAGTTAGTGGACACTCTTTGTGATGGCTAAGTGACTGCCTTGTGATTCTTCTCATAGTAGAAAAGTCCATGTTCAGCAATTTAGTGTAACAAAGATTAGTTGTCTTTCTATACGATTTGGTTTCTGCTATTTGGTACCATTCTTTGTGATTCTGTAGCACTAGTCCACAAGGTTCAAAGGTCAGTTGTCTTTCTATACAATTTAGTTTCTGCTATTTGGTACCATTCTTTGTGATTCTGTAGCACTAGTCCACAAGGTTCAAAGAAGAATGGTCTTCACTTGCTCAAAGACAGTCTTAAAGAATACAGAAATTACTTTTGATATCAGTGACCAGACAATAGATGTAAACTTATTAAAACCTGCTATGAAGCTTCCTTATAAGGAAATATTTGGCATGTATAGATATATGTACATATATATATATATATATATATATATATATATATATATATATATATATATATATATTGTTTTTCTTACCTTTTCATACCAGATGACAATGTGGTTTTCTGCAAATTAACCAATTTTCAAGTGAGTATATACCAAACGATTCTTCAAGACCCTGACCTTCAAGATGCCATCAATGCTGGGAACCCTTGTTTTTGTGGTAGTCGCAAAAGCCAGGGAAAATGTTGTCGGAAAGTAAGTATGGCTAAGAATTGTTACTCATTGTCAGCGCCTTGCTAAGAACCTTTTTCATCTTGTTTAACAGAATATTTTAAGACTTAAGATCAAAAAGGGTTTCATCTTTGGAATAGAGTCATAAGATTATTATTTTTTTTTTTTTTTGTTTAACTATTGTTTACCTAATACAGGGCCGAAGAACCACTCAAGGTAGAGTGTTACTAAATGCAGTTGTTGCAAAGGCATACAGGAAGGGAGCAAGGGGTGCATATTATGCAGATACATAGGATAGATAACAGTTGACCCTAAAATTGAAGAAGTTAAGATCAAGACTAGATAGTGAAGACTGGATGGCTCCTGCCCATATATGGTAGCCGTATTCCATTTTTGGCATGATCTGGCACTTGTAAAAGTAGAAGACAGCTGGAGGAGTCAGGTACTTACTGGAGCAGTATAGATAACGATCATTTCTCCAGCATCTTTAGTGATTGATCATATGTATGAGTTCCACTTGAGGTCTGTACTGAATTTAAATCCCATTAGGCGCCCATGGCACGGACCCTCCCTGAGGGAAAACCCACTCATCAAAGTCAGTAAAAGTTTTTGGTCTGCTTGGTGATGAGGGAACATCACTAGTTTGGTATTCAAGGTATTGAATATGATGAGTCAGTTTTTCTCTCACCCTCGGTATCAATTCAGTGATACCGATGGTTCACATATTTGGCCCTTCTGCATTTTTTTTTTGGGGGGGGGGTCCCAGATCAATTGAATTAAATCTGAGATACTGGAACACAGAATGATTAGAAAATAAGATTAATCCAGCACAGAATAAAACAAAGATTCTGAATAGCTAAAAAAGGACCAACCACTGCCCCTGTAAGGATCATGTGATGCTGGCTACATAAGTGCCACTTTCAAAGACCCATTCTCTTTCTTCTCCAGCCACAATACTCAAAGCCTGAACGAAGACTTCTCCCTTCACCACTAGGTCTAGACAGTGTCTTCAATTTCAACACCCCACTGAGTTATGACACTTATACAATTCCTCCACCATTATGTTTAAGGCTCTAGAATTTCATCACCAGCATTGGTTAAAACATATCTTCTTCCCTGGTACTGGTAGTGCTGATAAATCACTTACTCTGGTTCAGTGGTGGAACTGAAAAAAGAAAACAACAGTAGACTTATAAGCATTAACCGATCTGAAATGTTCCTCATGCATAGAAAATGGAGTGGGAACAATCTACCCTCATAAATTGAATAAAGTGTTCAGTTCAAAATTCAAAGAAGATAGCCACAGACATCTGAAGTAGGCCAGAGAGTACAGTCGATTAAACAGAAGTATAGAAAAGCATATAATGAATAAAATTCAATTTGAAATTTCAAAGTCACCAAGCACGAAAACAGACACCTGAAGAAGGCCAGTGAGTACAACAACCGAAACGTTGTAAGTATAACAACCAAGATGGGCATTAATAATAATAATAATAATGATTTTTCTTTGTAGAAAAGTTCCACTGGCAAGCCCCTTAAATCTGTGATGTTCCAGTACCTGCATCTCCTACTGAAAGTGTCCAACCATGTTGCCTTGCTGGCTCCTGATAGCAAAGCTAGTTCTGCCCAGAATCAGGCAGCTGTGGATATCTGCAATAAAGTTTTTGAGAAACACCCACACTTCTTGCAGCTGACGCAGAAAGCTGCATTTAGCACTCTCTCTGATCCAAAATACTGTTGTAAAATGAAGGTAGGTTGTTTGTTTTTTATTTGATAATCTAAAAGGAAAGTGGATATCATAAAAAATCGAACTATCACAACAGAACTCTTAAAAATGGTAACAATAATATTAGCCATTTCCCTATGTGAAAAGTTATGTTTTTTTTCAATCTCTGGTCATTGGGCTGGAATCAAAGTGTAATATCTGTTCTCCTCATCTCTAATGGTAATATTAGCCATTTCCTTATGAGGAAGCCTCCTGGGTATGATGATAAACTACATCCGCATCCTGGGTAAGACGATAAACCACATCTGACAGCAAGGCTTTTAATTAGGAGATTTTGAAGAGCATGGAACCACCTCTTAATTGCTGGTGTTCCCAGGTCCACCCTGCTCTGGGATGGTAGCACCTGTCAGGGCCCCAGCTATGGGTAAATAGTTAATAAAAAGGGGTCAAAATACAATGAAAGTATAAAAATAGGTTTTAATACCAGCAATACTTTTTTGAAAAAAAAAATTATTACCAGCAATAAATTTTTGGAAAAAAAAATATTACCAGCAATACATTTTGAAAAAATATTAACAGCAATAAAATTAATGTTGGCATTAAATAACCCATTGAGGTTGGTATGCCATAAAACAAAAACCAAACCAAACCAAACCTTATGAGGAAGCCTTTGGCAGTCTTGACTGAGCAGCCAGTGTTACTGAAGTTACGTTTTTCTTCAATCTCTGACTATTGGACTGGGATCAAAGTGTAATCTCTGTTCTCCTCATCTCTAATGGTAATATTAGCTGTTTCCTTACAAGAAAGTCTTTGGCATTCATGGAACAATCAGCCAGTGCTACTTGAGTTGCACTTTTTTCACTCCCTGTCTATCAGGTTGGATTCAATGTGTAGTACCTGTTCTCTTCATATCTAACGGTAATTATAATATTGGCTGTTTCCTTATAAGGAAACATTTGCATTCACTGACCAATCAGCCAGTGCTACTTTCAGTTGAAATTTATAAAATCTGCGATCAAAGTGTAATCTCTGTTCACCTCATCTGTAATGGTAATATTAGCTGTTTCTTTACAAGAAAGCCTTTGGTTTTCATTGAACAATCAGCCAATTGAGTTGCAATTTTTTCACTCCATGTTTATCAGCTCAGGTTCAAAGTGTAAGATCTGTTCTCTTCATATCTAATAGTAATTATAATAATGACTGTTTCCTTATGATCGAGCAACCAGTGCTGCTGTCAGTTAAAATTTATAGAATCTTTCTATTAAAACAATTTCCAGGAAAATTAGGTTTCTCAAATCCACTAACTGTTCTCTCGTTCTTTTCAATGTTGATATGGGCTTCCTTTCTAACTTTTATCTTGAAGTATTGTGGAACGTCAACATCTTCATTATGTCATTTTTCTTCAACTTGCATGCTCTATCCATCTTAGTTGCTGCCGTCGTCAAAAGGCCTCAAATGGTTTCTGTTATTAGGTGCAGTTTTTTTTGTGATTGTGTAGTAGCAGTCCACAAGGTTCAAAGAATGGTAATCCTTGCTAAGATCTAATTAGATCTTCATTAACTCAAACCCATTTTTAACCATTAATTTAATTTAAGAAAGTGGTTGTATAAAGCTGACAGTTTAGATATTTCAGAATGAGTTTTTGTGTCATGCATGACATCCATATGATGAGCACACTTATTCATGTCTATTTTGCACCCCTTTGTTGGTGAATTATTTGGTTGTTTTTGTTTATTGACATATCAACACCTGTATGGGTTATTCAATGCTGAAATCAAAATATTTTATTTATATATTTTTGGAGATAATAATGGTTTTAGTGATATCATATCAGTTTTACTAATTAACCCATAGCCAGAGGGAGAAGAGGTGGATTCATACCTTTCCCAAGAGGAAAAATATATATAATAGATATATAAAAAAATATATAAAACCATAAGTGAATATAATGAACCTAACTGGAATTGAAACTCTGCTCTCCAGTTAACAATTCCAAACCATTATCCATTACACCACCCACACATCCAAGGTTACCCCCGGCATTCATTCCCAAGCCGTTACTCATCTAGGTACTGACCAGGCTCAACCTTAGCAATTGTACAGTGTTCCAACATGATGTGGCCATAAGCTAGTTGGTGAATTAATTGTGTAATATATATATAGATAGATAGATGGTTTTAAGGTGTGCTATATTTTTGGCTAATAGTACTCAATATCGGAGATAGAACATATATATTATAAAAGTGGACAATGAGGTCAACACCAAGAGGCGATAGTCTCTTTCATGCTTCAACACAATCTTCAGGGTATCTGATGATTGCTTCAGAGCATGAAACAGTCACTTATATATAAAAAGTGAATTTTATCCAAAGAAATGAAACATAGCTTTAAACAACACAGATGTCATACCTTAGGAACTTTTCGGCCCACACTTTTTCAAAGGTATTCGTTGGCTATTGGGAATACATCTGAAGACCTACTTAACAAGGTAAATGAGTAGGGAAAGGTGGAATGCAATTAAAAGACAAATTTTAATTAGACAAAATTAAAATTGAACGGGGGAGGGTGAAAAAATTTAACCAGTTCCACAAGAGTATAAAATGGAAAAAGGACACTCACAAACCCTCCAGCAAACACAAGGAATGTAAAAAATGTTCCTTTTGTCTACTCAGGCTCGACTGATGACACGCTATAAAAACAACTTCCAAGACACAGAGATGGTATACTGAGTGAGTGCTGTGTAAAACTGAAAAACATGCGTCTTCATATTCAGAGGCACAAGCCTGGTTGTTGTCTGACTGATCGCAGACTCATGGACTGCCTGAGTAGTTCTTATAGAATGGCTAAGACTACCAGAATGCAAATAGGTAGGAACATGCTGCGCAACACACATCTCCAACCTCAGATTGGTTTGTCCTATGTACACCGTGTCACAACATCATTTGAACTTGTACACAACCAAATTTTTATGAAAGTAGGACAACCTATCTTTAGTAAAGGAGGGAAGCTGTTTTTATAAAGTGTCATCAGTCGAGCCTGTGTAGACAAAACAAACATTTTTTACATTCCTTGCGTTTGTTGAAGGGTTTGTGAGTGTCCTTTTTCTATTTTATACATGTGTGGAACTGGTTATATTTTTTGACCCCACTTGTTCAATTTTAATTTTGTGCAATTAAAATTTGCCTTTTAATCACATTCCACCTTTCCCTCCTCATTTACTTTATTGAGTGTGTCTTCATATGTATTCCCAATCGCCAACCTTTGAAAAAGTATTGGCTGAAAGGTACCTAAGGTATGACGTTTGTGTTTATATATATATATATATATATATATATATATATGCATGTATATTTCAAACAGTGTGTATTACATTCAAGAAATATTAATAAGAAGAAAATGTACCCTCCAGCAGGGAAGGAACCCGAGTCCCCCTTTGTAGGAGAAACTACCGTTTGATACAGCATGCTTTACCACTCGGCTACAGAAAGGGTAACAGTTTAGCAGGGCTCTATTTTCCCTTTTAAGAAAAGCACACTTCCTCCTTCAGATAATTTTCTTGCAAAGCCTCAGTTTCATATCTGAAATGTAAATGAAGCAATTTCTAAAGAATTAATGGATTTATTTTTATTACTTCAATGATTTTCTCTATTAAAATTTCTTGAATACTCAGGCCTATTGATGTAATACACACTGTGTAAAGTTAAAGTAAAAGATGAGGTGTCTATTTCAAATACGAGTATCAACTATAATAATGTTTGAAGTAATATAGATATTGGATTAAACATGAATCCATTAATTATGTAGAAATATATATTTAATTTGTACATGGACTTTGATAAAGTTCCACAAAGAGTGAAATGCATTGGTAAAGAAGTTTTCCTTCTGTCTTTTATTTATATTTGAATTTTTACATATACATATGGTATGCAAGATGAATTCCTATAAACAAATTTTGTTAAATTCAATTAAGATCTGATTGCTTTATATATTTATTTTTGCAAATAAGATGGTCTACATCCAAATCAGAATTGTTGATAAAATCTCCAAACTTGCATGCTTTGTTCTTTTTTTCTTCAAGTACTTTTAACCATCTTATTAACAACTGATGCACATCTATTTGAATTTAGGTATTCCCTCAAAAATGCCTGGATGTAGCCAACAAAATTTTGTCTACCATATTGACAACATTCAGTTCTTTGACATGTGCTTGTAAATATAATTTTTTTTTCCTGGTTTCTTTTCTAGGTTTTAGTGGAATTATTGACCGTCTTTCATCAGAACCATTCCAAAGTGCTACTTTTCTCATATTCTACAAGGGTAAGTATTTTTGTCTCAATAAAATATTCTTATAAGAGAAGACAACTGATAAATCTGTCCAAACCACTTGCCAAAAGTTCAGTGATGAAGGATCAAACTTTTTTTTTTTAAGAAAACTTGAGAAATGTTTCCAGTGTGTGACACATATTATCAGCCTGGGGTCAATTCCGAGTCGTGGTGTGAAGCTGTGTTACTTCTCCTACCAGTGTTTTGGGGTTGATTCTAAGTCGCTGCCACCAATATGTGACCTAGTCAATCAGTGGTTGTCACTACTTGGCGGGATCCTTTGGTCAGGGTACCAAATGGTCGATTCTAATGGCTTCACACCAGATACAACCAGTCCGACACCAACTCCTTCATGCTCAGCTCACTTTCAATGGCTGGTTACTGAAGTAACTACTTCAATCTCAAGTCTATCCTACCCATGTTGTGATTTGATCTTAGGTAGACAAGATCAGTCAGGCATCGGTGCTGTAGTGCAAGATGAGTCTAAACTGGAAGTGATGTCACACAAGTTTAAAAAAGAAATAAATAAAAACCAAAAAGATTCGGTTATGTTGAAAGAAAGCAAATCAACTTTTATCAGTCTGTTCTAAACAGGAGTATGTGTTTTTTCCCAACCCCTTTCTTGGAGAGTGACACTTTTATACTTCTAGGCAAGTCCTGGTTTTCTGAGTCAACTGATTTAGTTTTTAGGTGCTGGATTAGCTTTGTTCATCAGTATAAATTGCTGTTTCGTAGAAGGCAAAGTAGAAGATAGGAATTGTGGAACTCGATCTTAACTCCAACTTCAACTGACTGGCAAACCGAGGGCACTCATTTATATGGACATTGATCAAAAACTGGTGCGAAGCTAGATGCAGCCTGGGGTTCTTGGTAATTCCCGATTTCTGACAAGGGACCTCTTTGTTGTTTGACTAGGAAAATTGATTACTTCCCATTTTGGAAAATTAATTACTTTCCATTTTTGTGAGGATCCCTTCATACAGGAGGAGAGGTTGCAGGATAGCTATCCTCCTAAACTCCCTCCTCACATTGGTACCTCATACCAAATCCTTTCGGTGGGCATTAGTAATTTCTCCATCTTTCTTACTAATTTACCTCCGCCTATTACCATTGTTACCTCTCAACCAATGATGTTTCAGTTGTGTGGGTGTGGCTAAGCTTGCTTTATTAATTAACCTTTTGACATCCCTGTTTATTCAGGATTTCTGAATTCCAAAATTATCAATGTTGTTTCCTTTTTTTGACTTACAACATATGGCCCCCGTGGCTTGGCCAACTTCTAAAATCTGGCAATTTGAATGATATCTCAAACGCTCTTTGGCTATTTCATATTTTCTTTACAATTATCATAAATCAATTGTCATAAGCTCACCACATGGCTTTTTGTGAATTTATTGTTTACACCAATCCTTGGTTACTTGGGAAAGTGGAAAAAAAATAAAATCTTTCCATATTGAACATGTTTCTTGGAACATCTTCCCATGCCAAAAAATTCTTACAATCAACATATGGCCCTTCGCCTGGCCAACTTCTAAAATCTCGCAACTCCAAATGATATCTTAGATGCTTTCTGTTTTTCTCAACCAGTAATTTTACAAACATCATTAATCAATTGTCAAAAGCTTGCCATATGGCCTTTTTGTGAGTCCACTGTTGACGCTAATTCTCGGGTTCTTGAGAAAAGTAACTTTTTGGGAGGAAATAAAATAAAATCTTTGTAATATCGAATGGGATATCTTCTTTTCCATTCTCAGTATAATTTTATGATTAATTAGTTAATCAATTACTATAGCTAAATAGTGTCACAAGTGTGTTTAATCGTGGAGTGAATAGATTGAATAGTATATATGCTTCATGGGTCTTGATCATTCATTCTTCTTGGTCAGACCCAAGGACTTTTCAGCATTACCCCATACTCTTGAGTGCCAAAAAAATATCCCTCACTTTTTGGATACCTCCACATGAAGCTTATTAGGACTCTCCCTTTCCCCATTTATTAGGAATCTCCCCTTCCAAATTTATTAGGACTCCCCCTCCCACATTTATTAGGGAGTGGTAAAGGGAATGAGAAGGAAGAGAAGAGTACAAATCAGCAAGATTTTTTGGCTTCATTAACGCATTTTAAAATATCATGATTTCATTAAATATATATTACATGTTGGCCATTGATGGATATTTATTGATACTGTAATGTTGGCAAGACTTCATTGAAATATTTTCGATTTTGTTAAAGCATTTTACTTAAGCACATTGATGGGAAAACTTTCCTGAATGAAGACAGACATTGATAGACACTTATTCTTAACTTTATTTCTCCAAGAACTTGTTATAGTTTGAGTGACTATAACTTAATTATTTTCCAACCGCTCCAGATGTTAGATTTTATTGGGTTTTTTTTTCAACCACAACCCTGTTTGTTACCTTTTCAGATGTTTTCCAGCCCTACCATTTATTATGACACCACCACCTTTTATTTGGCATCCAAGAGTACACCTTCATTTTTTTAAATATGAATATATATATTAAGAAATAATTTTATTTTATTTTTGTCTTTACTATTCATGTGACTGGCATAAATTAATTGAAATTATTGATTTATTATTTCAATATATATATATATATATATATATATATATATATATATATATATATATATATATATATATATTTCATAATAATTCATCATATCTAGAATCGGAATCCTCAATGCACACACATGCAGAAAAGCATTGGACAGCTGTTTCATCTTTTTTTTGCAACTCATCAGTAGTGTGCATCCTCTACCGACTCTGAGAGTCAGCCATCAAGTTTTAGCTTATTATTTTGTTTTGTATTAATATATATAATTTTTTGTTTTGTATTAATGTGTATAATTCATAAGTAATTTCCTTTCCTGTTTATGAACTTTTTTCTTCAAAAAATAAAGTATAAGTAAAGTGCAAATACATTTTATTCAATTCTATATCCACCATGACTTGCAATGACTTCTTTCCACATATCAGGCAGCTCTCCAAGACCTTTTCAGTAAAATTCTGCAGATTTTGACATAGAAAAAAAGTTTGGGATAAACTCTTGAACCTGATTTTTGAAGAAAGTTTTTCCCATCAAAGCATTTAGCAGTCATCATAAAAGATAATAATAACTTGATGCAAGGTTAGCTGATTATGACAGCTGGGGTTGAACAGACAAACCAAGTTCCTGAATTTTTTCCTGTTATCCTTGCTGTATGTGACCATGAGTGTCATGAAGGAGAACGACATTTTTCATATTGATGAACACAGGGCAATTTTCAACTAAACCTTTATGAACATGCTGCATTTGCTGGATATATAAAGGTGCATTTAATGTTTCATTGCACTTTAAGAACTCTAAATGAATACCCCAATAATTGCACCACACACTATGTTACCTTTCTTCCATAGAGCTTAGATTTTTCAGCTCAGCTGTAGAGATGCATCTTTGTCAATCCACATTACATTAGACATTGTTGTATGCAACCCACTTTTCATCACCTGTTATGATATATTTAAAGAACAGTTAATTAGGATGACACATTTGTTATTACAATTGGTTCCCAAAAATGGAAATTATTTATGACTCAACCTAATATAGTGATATGAATAAACTTGGGTGAAAATCTGAGAGAATAGTAAATATACAAGATTATTGAATTGTGAAATGAAAATAATCCTGAACAGCCACTCTTCTAGTTTCTTTTGTACTAATGCAGGTGTTCCCCAGGGCTCCATCCTTGGACCTACATTATTTTTAATTTTCATTAACGACCTTCATGATGGCATCATCTCTCAACTTGGCATCTACGCTGATGACACAACCATTTACTCCTGTCTCAATAGTAAGTCTGATCAGTTTGATAAGGTCAAAATGGCAGCTGATATCCAAAACAACCTTCAGTCCATTGTTAAGTGAGGCAAAAGATGTTCTCTTAATTTTAGCATCTCCAAAATTAAACTGCTTTCATTTAATCATCAGAGAGACATCTTTCTGCCTTCCATTAGCATGGCTGATTCTGACCTCCAGGAGAGTGACTCATGGTGCCTTCTTGGGCTAATGTTCTTGGTGACATAAAGTGGAAAGACTATTGAATCTATTGCTAGGTCTGTTAGGTCAGCTGCTCAGAAGGTTGGTTCACTGTGTCATACCAGACAATTCTTCTCTCTGGAGTCTATCTTACATATCTATAAGTCTATCATTTCTCCATGTTTAGAATATTACTACCACATATGGCCCGATGCTCCTGCTATTAATCTAGAGCTCCTTGATAAAATCTAAAGAATCAGCAATATTATTGGTCCAGGCATCTCAACTTCAGTCACTTTCTACTGCTGTAAGGTTACTTCCCTTTGCTTTTTTATAAATACTTTGTAGTAATTATTTGCATGATCTCTTCAATACAGTGCCAAGACTCTTTGAATTTAAGCACAGTACTAGACTGGTGACAAGGTCTCTCCAATTTACAGTTGAGCTGGCTAGATGTAACCGTAAATTCTATGCTAACAGTTTCTTTTTTTTTTAACCATTGATATGAGAAAGTGTTTGTATTCAGTGGTTGTATATTAGCAAGATTAAATATTATTCACACTGAGAGTCTGAACATTTCATTTTAACTTTAACTTGCTAAATTAGATTTGTACTAATTTCAGTTTTTATTTTTTATTTATTTTTTTTCAAGGTTTCAGTGCTATTTCTATAAAGAAAAGAAGCTCATGCTAGACAATTTTTCTTTCCAGAATCTATCTTATACATTTATAAGTCTACCATTCATCCATGCATTGAAAATTCTTGCTTCACCTGGTCTGGTGCTTTCACTATATATTTAGAGATTCTTGATAAAATCCAAAAAACAATCTGCAATGTTATCAGTCCTGACCTGGCATCTCAGCTTCAATCATTTTCTCACTGCTATAACTTATCTTCCCCATGTCTTTTTTTATAAATATTTTCATAGTAATTGTTCTGATGAGCTTTACTTTGTTTCCTTGACTGAATTTAAGTGCAGTGCTAGATTGACTGTTAGGTCTCATACTTTCACTGCTGCTAGATGTAGCTATAAGTCTCATAATAGTTTCTTCTGCCATACTTCTTACTTGTAAAACTCTTTTCTGGTCATCAACTATGATCTTAAAAAATTTAAATGCAATGTCAATCGTTATCTTCTTTTTCCTTGAAACCTGTTCTTTTATTTTAACCCCTTACATCCTAGTAGCTTTTATTGCCTTGCTTAGAGTGAAATGATTAGAAAAAAATAAATTGAAATAGCCTGGTCATAAAATAATTGTATAGGACTCATAGATCATGGCAGCATCCTCAGCTGAATAAATTATACTCACTTTTTATTAAAGCTTCATTTGTGATCAACAAAGGTTTCAGTGATATACAAATGTATTGAATTGTTCAATCCCTAAATCTACCTAATAAAATGTCAACAATGTACTCCAAAAATACATCCGCAAAATGTCCCAAGATTTAAATGAAAGAATATATGGGTGTAAATCTCATCCCTTCTTCACTCTTCTTTTATTCTTCCTCAATTACTAGCTCTGCTAGCTTTGTTGAATAACGCCAACTTTATGTGTCATCCAGTTTTCTTTTCCCTCCTCGGTTGGCCCTTTATGTTTAAGAGAATTTGGGTCACTCTTTTCTGTAAGCATTCTGGACAGATAGTATTAATATAAACAATCATCAGATTTAATTTTTCAGGAACAAAAAGTTTGGACAGCACATTAATCTTGCCTTCATCTTATCAGAGGGAAGTTGGGGAACATTTGATTTTGCTCAATTTTATTGAATCTTGGCTAATTATTTCTGGGTTTGTTTCTCTTTAGAATCATTCTTAAATTCATTTTATTGTTTAAAACATAATTATTAATTCATTTCTTTTTTCATCTTTATCTCAACTATTATCTACTTTTCTGAGAATTGGAATAATTATTATCCAATTAGTAGCCGCAACTGACAAGAACCTATACTGGTAAAAAACCACCGGCATATAGACAGGAAATGAGTTCAGCAGATTATACAAAAATAGAAAGGGATGTAAAACAAGGATGTGTCTTGTCAGACTTATTCAACCTATACAATAAGGTGATTCTCAGAGAATTAGAAATCCTACCAGGATTCACTATATCACTTAAAATTCTAGAAGCTCAAGCGAGAATGTCTAGGCCAACATGTTGCAGCAACCAAAACATAAAGATTTCTCTCAAAATTCTAGAAACTCAGGAGAGAATGCCTAGGCCAACATGTTGCAGCAACAACAAACACAATACGAAGAATAATCAGAACAACTCTTGGAAGGATAAAGATTTCTCTCAAAATTCTAGAAACTCAGCAGAGAATGCCTATTCATAGAAAAATTGATGGCAATCTATCTTTCTCTCTCTCTCTTTCACGCACATGCACACAGAGACTTTCGTCCAGTTTTCTTGTAACTTTTATATGTTTTTCTATTTAATTTTCAGTTGTTGGACATTTTAGAAACTTATATGCTGAGCACATTGTACCAATACCGACGAATTGATGGGAAAACAAGTCCAAGACAGCGTATGAAGATTGTCCGTGAATTTAACAAGTACCCCCAAATTTTTGTATGTCTCATATCGACAAAGTAAGTAACATCTTTCTGTTCAATATTTTTTTGTTATTTTCAAAAATTTGTATTTTTATTAAATTTATATTTTTCTTTTATCAAACCTTGTTTTGTGATGTCATAAGATTGATTATTTTTGTTATTCATTCTTAAAAATGAAAAGAATTCTTATATGAACACTACATCATTAAATATTCAATTTAAGAGAAAGATTTTAAAACACACAGGCTGACACATGATAGATTAGAAGATTCACAACTTATATATATAAATTTAAACTATCTAAAAAATGATTTATTGTTAATCTTAATATATTTTATTTGTAAGCATATTTTGGTAATTTTGAGTGGTAACAATTTTTTTTCTCATTATATAATTAAAAATTAATAATTTCATATTATAAAACCCCGTTTTTTTTTTTTTTTGGCTTCCCTTAATATCACTTCATCTTTCTTATAACCATAACTTGGGATGTTAGGGTTAATATCTGGGTTGAATTTGGGTAGCTTCTTTCCATTTAAGCCAGACAACATCTGCCCTCCCTTTACCACCACTAGGGCAGTTTGTGTTGTCTGCTATGTTATGAGTTGGCTATGTATCAATTTTTTCAACTGTTTTTGTTTTTCAAATATTAAATTTTAAATTTCTAGTTTTGATACTGAATACAGTCCACCATTTGAGTTGAACAAAGCTAATACATTGACATTAGTTGGAATAGTCTATACTCATGAGGTAATTTTAGATTTCTCTGTTATGTAATTTATATACTTTGTTATAATAAATACATTGAGGTCTTTTTTGTGGATCGGTTTTAATATTTTAGATTTTTATATTATTAGAATTCACTTGGATTATATACCAGTGGAATTATTACCTGTACTATATATATATATATATATATATATATATATATATATATATATATATATATATGATAAGGAAAACATACATATATGCACAAATATTGCACAAAGTTATATATTTTTTCACAGATGTTATAAAATCAGTACTCAATGTTATACAACAGAGCTATTAAGTATATCTTAAGGAATATACATAATATCCCACATTGATAACATGGATCAGAGTTTCATGCAATCTTCAGATGCAAAATACTCCCTGATTGTTATAAAGCATTATGAAACTTGCATTCTCATGGTGTTAATTTAAAATTGTGTGTTAAGACTTGTTTATTTTATTATTGTTGCCTATAATATTTTAACTAACTATTTATAATTTATATCATTCAAATTCTTAAGTTTGAAAGATGAAAAATTAAAAAAAATTATTTTAAATAATTTAAAAAAAAACTTTGAATTTACATAAACATACTATGTATCGGGGGGTTTACATGAAACTCTGAGTTGTGCTATCAACTTGGGATATTATTTATATTCACTAATATATATGGCTTCAAATGACAATTGGAAAAAAATCTTACATTTTGCCGACACGTTTCGTCTTCCGACTTTTTCAAAGCAAAAATGAAATCAAAATGTTTTTGTTGTTATAGTTATATTAAAAAATCCAAATTTAAAAAGATAGACGGTTCTGTCTAAGCCTTTTTTGTGGTTAATGTAAATTACTTTTATAGTAAGGGATTATTATTATTATAATTTATTTTTTTTTTTTTTCCAATTGTCATTTGATGCCAATCTGTCTTGTCCACAGAATTCATCTGGGAATTTAACTATATATATATATATATATATATATATATATATATATATATATATATATTTTTCTAAAGAAATGAAGTCTTCATTACTTATTAAGCCAATGTATTTTTATAGTAACCCCTTGAATCTTAGTGGATTTATTGCCTTGCTTGTGCTGAATTGATTAAAAAAGAAAAAGTGAAAGTGCGGTTAGCAATTCACAGATGGTGAGATCTTTGCAGTTGATAATTCCAAGAATGCCTAGGTCTTACTGTGCACCAGTGTAACCTAATTTTTTTTCTTTCTCTTAACAGAGCAGGCGGACTTGGTTTGAACATGACTGGAGCCAATGTCGTCATCATCTTTGATCCAAACTGGAATCCTAGCCATGATCTCCAAGCACAAGACAGGTAAGTTCCAAAATGACAGCTGATATCTTCTTTGAACTTTTTTTTACTTTAATCCTTTCACCCCAAGCAAGCACTACTTCCTCAGGGCACTTGATGTAGGCCTCCGTTGTTGAGTCTGAGACCCTGTGGGAAGATGAATGGAGGCATAGTGTTGCCATCACTATTGATATCTCCAAACACCATTATGTTGACTGGATATATCATCCAACTCTTTCCAGATCCTCTGCACTGGCCTCAAGGTTGACATCCAAACACTCTGAAATGTTCGTATTGGAGCTTCCAGCACGAATACCAAGCAGTACAGCATGGCATTTCCAAATTTCTGGTGGAGTGAATTGTGTCATAGTGCTCTTTTTCTCACAGATGGCGCCCAATTGATCCCTACTATACCATGCAGTTAACAAAATCAAGACCAAACAACACACATGTGTGATATTGAAAATATAAAATGGTGACAATTTACCCTTTGCACTCTGTCATAATATGTTTAAATTCCTAAAATCTAAGTATCAAAGAGGAAGGCTCATTAAAACAATTTACCATGAAAATATCTATAGAAAAGGCACAGGGAAGCTATGTTACGATGATGGGAAACTGACTGAAGTTGAGATGCCAGGTAAGGACCAATACCATTGCTAATTTTTTGTATTTTATCAAAAATCTCTAAATATATAGCAGAAGCACCAAGCCAGATGTGGTAGAATTATTCTAAGCATGGAAAAATTGTAAAATTATAAATATGTAAGATAGATTCTGATGAGAAAAATTGTCTCACACAATGCAGTGAATCGACTTTCTGAGCAGTTGATTCAATATAAACATTCCACTTCATTTCAGCAGAAAATGTTGGCTTGAGAAGCCAAGACGCCAGGTCAGGGCCAATTTTTAGTTTTAGTTAATTTACGAGATGATATTATATCATTGATTATGTTAAGATTGTCAGGCTACCCCGTTGTATCTGAAATGACAGGATGTCTCAAAAAATTACAATGATGACATAGCTGATGTACAAGTTTAGAAATAAGTTTCAAACTGTTGTGGAGTTATTTCGCAGTGGAGGCTTGTATTTGTACTAAATCGGTCCAACGTACAAATCGTTAGGAACTTGATATAATAGGTATTACGCAGAGTAATCTTGTTGTGGTCGCTGACTACTTTCGTACTTGACTAACTGTTGGCTACTGTCGTCCGACATCGACTGACCCTCGTTTCTCTTACTACTCCTACTTATATTAGGTGGGAGAGTCTATTAACTATAGAATAGGTGGGTTTCACCATAGCAAAAAACAGAACCACCAAATTTTGAAAGTACTATACTTGGCCTCACCTCATGGGCTGTTCTTCATGGTCAAGTGGTAAGGCATGCTGGGTTAAATAGTATCTCCCTCTGCTCTGAGAGATGCAGGTTCAATTTCTGCTGGAGAGCTCAAAATTTTTCTTTCTTTCTCGAGCATTCAGGCCGGTAGTCAAAAATAAATAAATGTATTGTTTAATAAATAAATGGAGCTCCCACTCAAATACAAGTATCCACTAAAAAATAACACTTACAGTGATATATATATATATATATATATATATATATATATATATATATATATATATATATATATTATAAGTTATTACATACAAACATATAAGTAATCACTACAAAGATGTATATTTGTTTCAATGCCTAATATAACCATCTCATCAGGTGGTGAACAAAGATGGATTGCTCTACTTTTTGTATTGACCCCTCTTTTAAATTAATGTTCTGAACGTTAATTAATAATTTATATTCTTTTCATTCCCATTACATTTGTGTGTGTGTGTGTGTGTGCATATATATATATATATATATATATATAAGTGAACATAGAAATCAACACTTAGAGGCGACAGTCTGTTTCATGCTAGATGCAATCCTTAGGCCACGAGTCGCTTGACGATTGCATCTAGCATGAAACAGACTGTCGCCTAAAGTGTTGATTTCTATGTTCACTTTTATATTTACACACACTTTATCTCTGATATTGCGCACTTTATCCCATCCCATAGACATAGCACATTTTAAGACTATATTTCTTCATATCTATATATATATATATATATATATATATATATATATATATATATACACACACACACCCACTAATCTTGTCTGTATAAGACAAAAGTTTGCTGCATATTCTACTTTAGTTTAGTACTCAATCCCATTTTTTTACTGGACTCAAAATAGACAAAATCAGGTAAAATTGGATTTATTTGTTTATCTGAGAGATAATATTTATGTAATGGTGTATTACAACAAAGAGAAATAAATCTTTCATAATGTTTCTCTAAGTCTTGTATGGTTCTGTACTTTTTCCAGATTTTGTTGAGTCTATATTCCTACGTGAGTTTGGAAATCATTCAAAGGTTAAAATATTATTTAATTTACAATAAAAAATTACAAAATACCTAAAATTGTCAAAAAAATTAAAACAAATTAATATTCATTCAATTTTATTTTGATTCATTTGTTCAATGTGTATTAGCAATTTAGTCGGCCCCAAGAGTCATTATCACGTTTTCATAATGTTTTCAAATCACAAAAATAAACAGAATGCTTTGTTTTTTTTATTTTTTCTCTTTCTTTTTTACAAGTTTTGTTTATTTTCTTTGCTCTAAAATCAAATGAGTTTTGTTTTATACATGAAGATAAGCTTTTTTCATGGAATTTCTCTGCTTCTTTAACATTTTTATAACTAATATATTGTTATACTGGAACACACCTATTCTATTGTTAATAGACTCTCCCACCTATAATAAGTAGGAGTAGTAGCAGTCGCTCAGTGAATTGCTCAGTCAGTCGATGTCGGACGACCGTTAGTCAGATATTAAAGTATCTGCGACCACAATTAGATTGCTGCGTCATTAACTATTATATCAAGTTCCTAATGTTTTGTACGTCGAACCTTTTTAGGACCGACTTAGTGAAATACAAGCCTCCACTGTGAAACTACTCTATAACATATATATATATATATATATATATATATATATATATATGTTATAGAGTAGTTTATTGATGTAATGAATATGCATACACCTGGATTCCCCCCCCCCCACAGTAATATGATTGGCTGGTGTCAGCCATAAATACAGACTGATATGGAGGTACAGGACGACGCCTATTGTCTTCCACTACGACGAGGATCAGTCCATTACAGTTACCTGTTAGATTGTACTACCCAGTTACAGTAGTCCAAAATCACTTTGCTACTTTGAACAAATATATCCCTTTCCAGGACATATACTACAGTTGAAAAGTTTGAAGCCACTCCCAGTATTAGCATGGGATGAACTTGACAGGAGAGTGAAACCTTTCCATCCAAAAAATGAAAGAGGTCTTAGAGTAGGTACCTCCACAGAAACACTAAAAAACAGCTGACCATTATAAAAACATGCTCCAAATATAATGAAAACATAGTTTTATTGTCAAATTCATTATGTTATTATTAAGAGGAAGGATCAATGGATCAAAAATTAATAAACACAATTAAACTAAGACATTATTTAATTGGAGAAGCTTTTAAATGGTTTTATAAATAATATATATTAAAAACAATAATGTCTGAAGAAAAAAATTTTTGATGAAAAATTCATTTTTACAAGATTAGGTTTAAATATTAGAAAGAGCGATAACAGCAACTAAACTTGAGAAACCTGTTTTCCTAAAAAATTGTTTTAAGAAAAAGATTTTATAAATTTCAATCAAAAACAGTACTGTCTGCTTGGTCAATGAATACCAAATGTTTCCTTGTAGGGAAATGATTAATATTACCATTACCAAACAGTTCCATTCTTAGGACTCACCATTGCTCTTATTAAAGATAAGTTTAAAGTAGAAGGAACTGTTGAAGACATCTCCAAGCATCATTCTGGAAAGGTGTGGACATCCATGAGCCCCACCAAGATGAGAAATAATGCTGGAAACTTACTATCAATCCCATTATAATTGTGCTTGTCCCTCCTTTTGTTATGACCTGTCAGTACCTCCTAAATAATAGATCTTGGTGGAGCCAGAGAGGAAAAGACACTACTTGGTTTCAATGAGAAAATGGAAGAAAGAAAGAAGAGAAGTAAAAGTGTTTAACAGCTGCTTCCGTGAAATGAAAAAAAGTTGTCAGTTTGAAATCATTTCATTTATACCCCCTTACTTCTGAAAATAACGACCAGAATTCATATTTGTGATTGTTATTGCAATATTTTGTTACGGTGGTTAAGCTCAGATATTTAACGATGTGATAGGAGAATTTCTACAGATATTTTATTGTTGTTGAACTTGCCATGAGCTTACTCAATCATTAACTTAAGAATTAAGATTCATCGGAATATCAAAATAGGAAAACTGTGAAATTTTCATGGGTTAAAACTAGTAAAATATAAATCCAAGTATATCCTGTGATTAGAGGATAATCTGTATAAAGAGGAAATGGCTGACAATGCAACAGATTTCTGGTGATCTGATCCTAACTAAGATTATGTCAAATGATTAAAGGTAATCTGAATATGTATGAAATGGTTGACAAAGTTTTTGTTTCTTTTTTTTCCAGGGTTCTCTGTATCTAAGAAATCAGTCAATCTTAGATTGTCTTTAAGAATATACTAAACTATACACATTCTCTTCCAGAGCTTACAGAATTGGTCAGCAGCGTCATGTCCAAGTTTTTCGTCTGATTTCTGCAGGTTCCATTGAAGAAAATATATATTTGCGTCAGGTCTACAAGCAGGTCAGACTAAACTTGACATTTATTCTTTGAAATTCAAACAACCAAATCAAGTGGCATTTACAAAATTTAAGTTTAGTAATAGTGTTATGAGAAAAGAGGAATAATTTTTAAAACGAATATAATCAAGGTTGAAGTTTAATGTGTTTTCTCTCCTCCCCTCAGAAATGTTTAATCTGTGTTCATAAATGATAAACATTTAGTCAAGCATTGATAGAGTAACAATAAAATTAGTGGGCAGTAAAAAGAAAAGTCAAATGCTTGCCTACATTTACTTGGCTCAAATGGTGTCAAGATTAAAATACAAAAACAATCTAATAAAAGTGAAGACAAAATTAAATACTAGACAAAAATTAATAATAATGGTTGACAATGCTTCATCTAATGAAGATGAAAGTAAAAAGAAAACAAAAATTAATAATAGTTGACAATGAAAAAATGAAGATGAAAGTAAATACTAGTCAAAAATTAATAATAATGAATGACAATGTTTCATCTAATAAAAAATGAAGATGAAAGTAAATCCTAGTCAAAAATTAATAATGGCTGACAATGCTTCATCTAATAAAAAATGAAGATGAAAGTAAATCCTAGTCAAAAATTGATAATAATGGCTGACAATGCTTCATTTAATAAAAAATCAAGATGAAAATAAATCCTAGTCAAAAATTAATAATAATAGTTGCCAATGCTTCATTTAATAAAAATGAAGATGCAAGTAAACACTAGTAAAAATTAATAATAATAGTTGCCAATGCTTCATTTAATAAAAATGATGATGCAAGTAAACACTAGTAAAAATTAGTAATAATGCCTGATAATGCTTCATCTAATAATAAATGAAGACAAAAGTAAAAAGAAACCAAAAATAATAATAATAATAATTGACAATGAAAAAATGAAAATTAAAGTAAATTCTAGTCAAAAATTAATAATAACAATAATTAACATTTAAGAAAAATTAAATTTATTGTTTTATATGTTTTGTTTTGCAGCAATTAGACAAGATTGCTGTAAATACAGAGAATGCTAAGCGTTATTTTAACGGCATTCAAGGAGACAGACAACAGAAAGGTGAATTGTTTGGCATGAAAAATATGTTTCAATTAAGAACAGGTGATAACTGCTTATCAAAGGATATATTGGAGGTGAGTAAATTATTTGTTATTTAAACCAGCCAACATAACAGCTTCCTAGATTAGATGGTGGATACTTTTAAAAAGGAAAAAATAGGTTCAATTCCTGCTGGAGAGCACTTTTTTTTTATTAAGATTTCTTAAATATAAAGGCCAATTGGACAGACATAATAGACACTGTTTAAATTTACAACAAAAATGGGGTGTTTATTTCAATAAATTCATAGTTGTCCTTCTCCTAAACTGGCTGCCAACCAAAGCTAAACAGCCCAGTCTTCTCTGCTATTTAACACATAGTTTGGGGAGGGGAGCTGATACATTTCCAGTGGGTATTTGGCTGGAATTTCAACTTGAATCACTGAATAACCCAGGTAAGGCTCTATTTTCCCTTTTAGGGAAAGCACACCTCCTTGTCTAGATTATTTTTCTCAAAAGCCCATATCTGCTCACTTTCGTATCTGAAATGTAAACATAGCAATTTCTAAAAAATAATGGATTTATTTTTAATTCTGACATTGTCATTACTTCAAATGTTATTATAGTGGTGAAATAGATGTCCTATTTTTATTTTTACTTTAAATAATGTAATACTCTTTGTGGCTGAGCAGTAAAGCACACTAGATCAAATTTTTGGTTTTTCCTATAAAGGAGGACATTTCGATTCCTGTCAGAGAGCACATTTTCTCTATTAAGATTTCACGAATATGTAGGTTGACTGGATAGATGTAATACACACCTTTTTAAAATAAAAATATTTGAAATAGAAGATCCATTACATTAAACTGTGTGTATTCCATCTATCAGCCTATGTATTCAATAAATCTTAATAACAAAAATGTACTCTCCAGCAGGAATTGAACCTGTATCCCTCTTTGTAGGAGAAACCAGTATTTGATCCGATATGCTTGATTATGAAGAACATCACAGTACAGCAAGGCTCTATTGCCCTTTTAAGGAAAGCACACTTCTTCACTAAGATATTTTTCTCAAAAGTCCATATCTGCTCACTTTTGTATCTGAAATGTAAACAAAGTAATTTCCAGAGAATTAGTGGATTTATTTTTAATTCTGACATTTTTATTACTTCAAATGTTATTTTTTTGTGGATAGCTATGTTTGGAGATAGATGCACAATTTGTATTCTAAACAACGTGCATATTACATTGACTGGTCTGCACATTTGAGACATTTGAATAAAGAATATGTATCCCTCTGGCAGGGTTCAAACCTCATTGCCATTTGATTTGGTGTGCCTTAAACCACTTAGTCACAGAGAGCAAACAATCAAGCAAGTTTCAATTTTCCCTTTTTAAAGAAAGCACATTTCCTTGTTCAGATTATTTTTCTTGAAAGCCCCTATTGGCTCAGTTTCATCTATGAAATGTGAATGCATCTTTTTTTTAATTTTCCTTTTTTTAATCAGACATTTTTTTTAAACTGACATTTGTATTATTTCAAACATTATTTCTGGCACATTTTTTTATTAAGATTTCTAGAGTTGGCAAGCCAATAAATGTAATACACACTGTTTAAAATTTTAAAAAAACATGGTGTCTATTTCAAATACAGCTATCTGCTAAAAATGTTTGAAGTAATAAAAATGTCAGAGTAAAAATAAGCCCATTAATTCTTTAGAAATTGCTTTGTTTACATTTTAAGTGTGTAGAAGAACAAGCATGCTAAAAGTAAAGAAATAAACAATCTTCAAACATGGCTCTACAAATTTTAAATAAATTTTATTATTTAGTGTTTGTTTTCTTTCAAGTTGAAAGAAATGAATTACAGATGTCCTCGCAAAACAAAGTCCCACAAAAATATTTTGTCTTTTGTTCTTTACAACACACAGAATAAATTGCGTTTGTATGAAAGAAAAGTAGAAAGTGCATACTTAATGAAAGAGTCACATATTTATGTGGTTTTAAGAATGTGTGTAATTTTCTAGCAGTTAGCAAATGAGATAGCTGTGTTATAACTTCTATTAACGTATTGTTTACATAACTTCATATATTTCAAGTGTGCTTAATTTACTTTAAAATTCACAAGGTTATTATAAGAAGGTTACTCAATAAAATATATGAAATGTTGAGTAATTAATTATATGAAAGGTGTGAGAATTCAGTTTTGCACAAAGCAGCAACCCAGGCCAGAGGTTTATCAATAAACTGAGTAATAATTTTGCAAATTTATGTGATCATATTTATAACAGAGAAATAAGCTGCAGGGGTCTAAAAGTTAGAATTACTAAACTCAGAAGTTTTATAGATTAATAAATATTTTTCCCAATTTTTAATTATCTATTTTTAGGAGAGAAAATATTGTTGATCATTTTCTAGAGTGAGCTTTCAAATTTTGTAGCAGACAACAAACATAGTCATCTGAAATTTTAGAACTTTAAGAGCATTTGAAATATTATTGCTGATTGGTTAATACCAATCAGCAATGTTATTTCAAATGCTCTTAAATGTGAATGTGGAAATTCATATTGGAGCCAGTGATTTGTGTGAACAATAAACTGTGGTTTTTAGTGATATTACTTACATGTACAATTGTTACAGGGTTTCACAAGTGCAATATCAATTGTTATCTTCTGTCTTCTTAATTCTTGTTCTTTTATTGCTCTCTCTCACTCTCTTTAATAGTATTTTTCCCCTCATAGTTTCAAGCACTCAGTATCCCCTTGCATCTTAGTGGTGGTATTGCCTTGCTTGGGATGAAATGATTAAAAAAAAAAATCAATCAATTATTTATAATTCAATATTATTTCTTATTACTTTGCAGCGTAATCAGCAAATTGAGAAGCAGTTGGCAGGACACCAAGTGACCAAGTATGTTCCTTCATCTTGGGAGGAGGTGGCGGAGAATAATGATGAGGAGGATGATTATAATGATTACCATAGCAATGATTCAGATGATCAAGAAAATTCAGAAGAATCTAATGAAGAATCATCTGAGGATGAAGATCCTTATGCTGATTGGTTTAGCAGTTTAAGTATGTCAATCTTCTTAAGTTTATAAACCATTGTTAAGTCTTACAAATTTCAAAATTGGTCTTTCTTTCATATTAATTTGAATTGCACTTTATCACAAGTCACTCTACAGCATACATTGGTTAGACAACAACTACATTATCACAACAGTTAACTTGCCATTTATCCAATAACAAAATAGTATATCACCAGCCAACACAATAATAAATTCCTTATCAACAACACAAAAATACTATCACATAAACCTCAGCACTGCTGTGGTCTGGACAATCTTTCTTCAAATCTCTAATTATATTTAATGCATTTACATATTCACATCAGATGTCTGGTGATTACCCCTGTAGATTGATTGTCAGCAAGTTTCCTCAAATCTCCAGCATCTTTCTGCTGTAGTCAGGACTGAACCAATCCTTCCTTGAATCTTCATTTATTATTACTATTACAAATATTTCAAGAATGTATATGTTCACATCTGATGTTTGGGTTAAGTGTTGGAGACCGAGTGACAGAAAATCTCCTTAAATTTCCAGCATTTTTATAGGCCTCAGTACTGCTTTGATCAGGACTGTTTCAATCCTTTCTGAAATCTTCTGTTTTGTCAATCTCAACTCTGATGTTTCGAGGATACAGACACATTGCAAACCAGCCTGATCCCCAATCAACTTTTCTTGGCTAGAAAAGACACCAGAGGTCTTCAGGATGGCTCCAAAATGGTCCCTTTATCACTTGTACTGTACATATACTGTTTGTTTGTATGGTCATATTCTTGTGATTTGCACAGTTCTCAGCGAGTCACATTGCCTACCCAATCATACTTACTTTTATACCATTCAGAATTAGCTTAATGCATTTGTTTATTATTGTTTTTATTGTTCATTATTATCTTGTGTGGTGTCTATTTTGGTCTAAATATGTTTTGTTCTTATGAAATTGTTCTGGTCGATCATCATTAACAAGGATTTGCTTTCTCTTCTCAGATATCATTATTAATATTACTATTATTATTATATACATATGCATATTCATATCAGACGTCTGGTGATTATCACTGTAGATTGAGTGATAGCAAGTCTCATCAAATTTCCAGCACCTTCCTCAGTATCATTACAAATCCCAACACCACCATCATTTCTACAGCAGTTTCAACTCTACCTTGGATTTCTAATTCATCTAATTTTGATTCTCGTGTTTTTTAGCCTGGTTTTATGTAACTGATGATTATATGCCTTGCCTTAACCATCATACTTCTTGACCTTAACTTTCATGTTCTATATCTATTTTAACTCCCAAGCAAAGTCCTGGTATTTTTCCAATTTCTCATTTTTCTTCATGTTCACTCTAAAATTCACTGGTATGACCATGTCCACATCCTTGTGGTTGATGAATTATTTTCCACCCTACAACCCTTTTCTCATAGACAAAACATCACAAGCATCTCACTGTTTGAAAATGGTTCAAGGGAATACAGTTTCAATTTCTGTCCAACAGGCAGATTTTCTTTATAATGACTTTCAACCGAGAAGCTCTTCCAAAAATGGAGAAAACTTATATTTTATCAAATCTTTAGGAAGTTCATTGAGTTAAGAATTTCCTTAAGGTAGGAATTGACGCCATCAGAAATAGGAATTCTATTTCAACAAACACGACATTAGCGAAACAAAACATGATTTACATTAAGCAGATGAATGCTTGATTTTCCCTTGAATTGTATCATTGTCAAATTTTATTTTTTTATTGGCAGATAATGTAATGACATCTGACAGTAGCCTACCTCTCCTTTAAAAATTTCTAAATTTTTTAAAGTTTGTTTTTTTTCCATCAGAACATCTAATGTTCGAGGAATTGTAAAAATAAAAAAAAATGGTTGAAGAAAAACAGAAATTATTGGCAGAGGTAGATACTTATAACATTGATGTATGTTGTTTCCAAGAAATCAAAATCAACAAAGAACTTGCATTTAATATCCAGTTTAGACAGCTCAAGTTAGTACCTTGTGCTTTGTATTAGGTGAACTAATGGCATTAAATTTCATATTTCCTAAGAAAGGTATCTAATTAATTTATAGGTACCTTTCTTATGAAATTTTATCAGAACTGTACATAAAATACTATAATTTTATGTACATTTATTACATTTTACTGTTATTTGTATTTGCATTCATTTTATTATTAATTTTGATATTTCATTTATGGAAAAATGTCGTAACTGAGATTAATATAAAAATAAGATCATATAAATTTCATAAGATGATACTGATACTTGATGTACCCTTCTCAGTTAAAATTGAAAAATCAAATTAACTTCTCCACACGTGTTTCGCAAAAATAAAGGCCTTAACAGCGGAGAAAAATGCTTAACTCAAATAACGCAACTTAATTATATTCTGGCTGGTCTTCTGTACTTTATAATTACAGCTCGATTATAAGCACAAAATTACATTTCTTAATTACTGCGGATCTTCTGATTAGTCAAAATGATACAATTTACAATGCGCTAAAAAAGATAGGACACTTAGGAAAGCCGATGCGGCTTTTAACTAATTTTATAATATTTTAACAACTTAAATGTAAAATCTATTAAAGAAATAACAAATAATTGTATTAAAAATTCATTTTTCATCGAAAAAAAATTTTTTGCTTTCAGAAAATATTGTCCATATTCATAAAAACAACTAAAAGCAAATAAAAGCATTTGAAATTAAGTAATATCTTTGTTTTATTGAGTTTTGTATGTTACAATTCAGAGCTGATTTTCAGGTACTGCGGATCCAATTAGAAACAAAAAAAAACATGATTTGCATTCCTCAAAGCCCTGTGTTTTTAATTATTGTAATCACTAAACCCGATGCGATCGAATTTCTAGCGTTTTCATAAAATTAGTTATGGGGGGGGGGTAATAAATATTTAAAAAAATATTTCTACCATGACTTTAATAAAAAAAAAACATATCTATAATAATTTCGATTATCTGTGAATAGTTCCTGAAAGTTTCATTAACATCCAACAATTATTTCTATTTTTGCACGATTTTTCAAATTAATGTGTGTCATACCAAAAAAACGTGCTAAAAATTGTCTATGTTATTTACTAGTTCCGCTGATACAAATAGAAACAATGTTTTTTTAATCAAAATTTAGAATGTTCTAAAAAGAAGGAAAATTTTTTAAAAATAATTAAAAAAAACTTTGGTCTTTCCTCTTAATAATAACATAAGCATTTAGACAATAAAATTTTGTTTTTGACAAGGTTGGCGTCTTTTTCGTCAAGCTATGCTCTTTTTTGAGCGATTTCGTGGAGGTACCTACGTTACCCACTACTTCTCTCTGTCTTTCTTACCTTCAATATGTCCTGTGAGTGTCAAATTCTCCAAGCCCTCTTTCTTCATTATGTGTGTTAGAAATTTTTAACTGCTTCTTTCTGATTCTAACGAGAAGTGTCCTTTTTGTTGCCATTGTCCTTAAAACTTCCACATTACTCATATTCTCAGTCCATGGTATTCTCATTATATGGAACCACATTTTTCTTGCCTCCAGTTTTCTCTTCATCTGTGAAGAGATTGTCCAGCATTTACTGCCATACCAGCACTCTTTTCTTTGTTTCTAATAACATTTTCCTGTTTCTTAACACCATGTTTTGTTTTGTATACCAAAGTTGAAAGAAAGCAATGAAAGTGCAAGTCACTTTGCATTGTTGTATCAAAGTTTACAATTTTTTTTTTCTCTTTATTAGGAGATGAAATACAGGAAACTTTGGGAACATCTGATGAAGACGCCAATAACACAGATTCTAAAGAAAAAGAAAGGAATCATCCTCAAAGAAAATCTAACAAAGGAACCAGAAAGAAACTCTCTCCAAATTCAAAAGATAATTCCAAAAGTCATTCCAAAAATGATCCAAATATTGATGCCCTTCACCCGACGACAACATCACATCAATCAGTACCTTCATTCACGGATGTGTTTGGTAAGTCATATTAACTAGCTGAAAACCTTCCCAAAAGGCAGATTTTAAAACAACAAAAGGTCTAAATGGTAAAATGGCACCAATAACAGATTGAGCTATGTATTTATTGAATCTTACCTTTTGTGTAGGTAGTGTAATGGTTAGTAATAGAGAAATGGCTAAGAATTGGAAATTTAAGTGCAAATTTCTGCCTGCTCTGTTGCATTCTCTTTTGCACAAATGTCCTTGGGAAAAGTATGAATCCATCACTTTAGCCTTGTGTGACAACCAGTCTAGGAGAGGGTTACTCTGATTTCAAAACCCTATTGAAAGCAACAGGAAACCACTCAATTATCGTTTCCAAGAAAGACATGACAGTTCACAGATGATAAAGAAAAGGAATTAGTGGAGAAGACAACAGGAAACCATTTCACTATCTTTTCCAAGAAGTCATGACAACTCAGATGATAAATAATAAAATAATATTAAATAATAAAGCAGGTATTTTTTTTACATGCAACAATAGTGTTAATTGTATAGATAACATATTTTTGGAGAAGGAATAAAAAACTTGTTTTAGCACTTCTGCTGCTGTGGATATACATATATGTCTTTATGAAGCATACATTATCTGCTGTTGATATAATAGTTTCTTTTCTCAAAATTCTTGTCTGCAGAACAGTTTTATGTTTTTTTTTTTGCTACTGCCTACAATCCTCAAAGATTAAAATGCAATACCAGTCACCATCTTCTACCTTCCTGAATCCTTTCTTTTATTGTCCTTACTTCTTATAAAAGTCTTCTTTTCTTTCTTTTTTTTAATCATTTCACCCAAGGAAGGCAATTAAGCCCCTAAGTTTTCTAAGGGTTGCTGAGTGTTAGAGAATATGAAAAAAATATGCTGTTAAGGAGAGTAGACAATAAAAGAACAAGAATCAAGAAGACATTTAAATTTTTGATGATCAAATTTGAAAGAGAAACAAGAAGTCTGAAGAAAGTTCCACAAGCAAGAAGTGCGATAGGAGAAACTGTTAGCATAGAATTTATGGTTACATCTGGCTGCCATTTCAACTGCAAAAATGATGAGACCTTGTCACCAATCTTCTCATTCTTTTTCACTCCCAGTAACCCTTTGTGTCCTAGTGGCATTATCACCTTAAAATGATTAAAAATATATAGCATTAGTCTGGGGTGTATATATTTTTTTAATTTGGGATATGACCTGTTCTAATACATTTTCAACCAGTAATTTGATCAGATCTGCAGTTGAGCCAAGGTCTGTTGCTCAGGACGCAGAGATAAAAAAATATTTAAATATTCTCTTGTGGACAGATTTATTTTTACTCCTGTAGCAGTGGAGATGTCTGGGATTATTGGCCATCATTCGATGTCGTTTCTTCAGAGGGTTGGCGGGAGGGCGTCTCGATTAAAGGACAAGCCTCACAAAATGGAGGAGCCCTTGCAACATGTTTCACTGGCAATGGTGCAAGGTAATCCTTTCTCCATTATTGTGACTGGCAGAAGATAGCAAAAAAAACATTTTATTTTTCTTTATAGATACTTTATTCAAATAAATATTTGCTTTTTATCAAATAAAAATAAATAAATATGACAAGTAGCTGCATTAGAATAGGATTTGAGTAGTATTTGATTTACTCAAGTTATTCCATTCTGTGTATGAGTATTTAATAAACCTCTTCATCTTTGTTTTTCCTACCTCGTCTTCTGTTCCTTTGATACTCTCTCTCACTACAGTCTTCCTAATTCTCATCTATTTTGAACAAAGACATTACAACAGTCCTCAATTTTTTGGGCTCTGGTGAGAGAGATCCGACAAACTGATTTAGCTGTTTTTAATTTTTGTTATATTTTGCATTACCTTTTTATGGTAATATATATATATATATATATATATATATATATATATATATATATATATATAATTATTTTAAAAAATATGATTCCTTCGCTACATTAGAGTTCTCATGTTTTAAAAAACAAGAGCAAAAAACTTCAATATAATTATTACAATTAAATTGAATTAAAGTATCAAGCTCTGTTTCATAGTCAAGTGAAATTTTTGGAAATGAGTTCTTTACTATTTTTCTACATATTTGCACACACACACACACACACACACACACATATATATATATATATATATATATATATATATATATATATATATATATATATATATATATATATTTTTTTTTATTCCATATGTTATGAACTGTTTCATTTTTGCTATGAATCTTTTCTTAATATGTCTGCTTTTTGCCCCCTAATACGAGGCTAAATGAAAAAGCAATTTTCATACAGCACATTTATTTCCAGTGACAAAGAACAAAATGCATTTGTTGCTTTTCAACATAATCCCCCTGCATTGTGATGCACTTCTGGCATCATTCAACAACCTCCTTCATCCCTTCTGAAAAGAAACTTTTGCATTGCTCACAAAGATGTGTCTGCACTGCTTACATGGTTGCACACACAATATGCACAAACTTTATGGTACCCCAACTCATCATGCACCATGGTTTGTGTCGATCCATAGCTGATGTCCATAATTGTCGCCACTTGTGCTAATGTGATTCGTCAGTTTTCTCAGATCAAGGCATCCACCCACTGGGTGTGTTCTACCGGGCTCAATGTTGATTCGTGGACCAGATCAGCTTTTGTTCATTACACATGATCTTCCCACTTAAAAGCGTTCTACTCACTCATGTGCCTTTTGTTAATTCATGGTGGGTGCTCCTTACTGTGCCAAAGAATTTCTGCAGGACTGACTCCCCCTGCCTTTGGAGTGTTGTTCCTTGATGGTACAATCACTGAGTGAAGCGGCCATACACCTGACCCTGTTGCTCCCTGCCACTTGACTGAACAATGGAATGCTGTGCACAGCTAACTACCCATCAGCCCATGTGCACATGTGGTGGTCATGTGTCAGCACTTCCCCGTTGTTTTTTTTTTTTCACATAATTTCAAAATTGCTTTTATTTTCTGATTTATCCTCGTAAAACTTTGTAGGATTTCAAAAATCTTATTTAAATTCATACTATAAAAACTAAGATGACAACAATTTCTTCACAAATGAAGACAAAGAAGAATTGAGGCAACAGAGGTGTGGTTCTACTGAAGGATGCTGAGAATGGAACATGTGATCAACAAGGAAGTTTTAAGGATAAACAGAAACAAGAAGAATACTTGTACTTAAATTAAGAATGAGACAGTTGAAATGTCCTCGACTCATAATGAGGAAAAAAGGCTTGGAGAATTTGACACTCACAGGAATTATTGAAAACAAGAGGACAGAGAAAAACAACAAATAATCTACCTACTGAGTTTATGCAAATGGATGGCAGAGCAGGAGTGATGGTAAGAGGACAAAAGTTGCTTAGAGTGACAAAAACAGGAAGCTGTGGACAACCGTAATCACCTGCATCACCTTCACCTGAAGGGACACAGCACATAAAAGAAGTCAGTTGACTGATGAAAAGTTTTGGACATCCCAAGTATATATGTTTTTTTTTCTTTAATCATTTCACCCCCAAGCAAGGCAATAAAGCCACTAAGGTACAAGTGTGAAAGAAAATGAGAAAAAGAAAAACATTATTAAGGAGAGAGAACAATAAAAGAGGAGGAATTAAAAAGGTAGAAAATAATGATTGACATTTCATTTACATTTTTGAAGATCACAGTTGACTGGAAAGCCAGAAGAGAGTTTGTTCCACAAGTGAGCAGAGTGAGAGAAGAAACTGCCAGTGTAGAACTTACAGTTACATCTCACTATTTTAACAGTAAAATGATGAGACCTAGCTGCCAATCTAGTACTGTGTTTAAACTCATAAAGTTGAGGTACCAAAGAGGAAAGCTCATCGGAACAATTATAGGAAGGGCTCAGGGAAGCTTCATTACAGCAGTTGGAAAGTGACTGAAGCAGAGATGCCAGGTCAGGATTGATATCATTGCAGATTCTTCTTTGGATTTTATCAAAAATCTCTAGATATATAGTTGAAACACCATAGATGTTACAGCAATATCTAATACTTGGACAATTGGTAGACTTATAAATATGTAAGATAAATTCTGGCGAAATAAATTGTCTAGCATGACACAGGAAACTAACTCTCCTAACAGAAGATCTAGCAGTTGATTCAATATAATATTTTTACTTCATGTTAATGGAAAACATTAGCCTGAGAACATGCAATGAGTCACTCACCTGGAGGTTAGCATCAGACATGCTGATGGATGGCAAAAAATGTTCCCTAAGATAAGCTGTTTTGTTTTGGAGGTGTTAAAATTAATAAAGCATTTCTTGCCTCAGTTAACAACAGATTGTAAGTTATTTTGGAGATCAGCTGTTAATTTGTCAAACGAATTAGACTTATGGAAATGGGGATGGATCAGCCACACACTCCACAAGCCTGCTTCTAGTGTCACCAAGCAAGCCCTTGACTTGACCACAAGGGAAGCGAAAAGTGGGTCGACCAAAACAGACTTGGTGCAGAAGTGTTGACACAGAGGTGAGGGCAGTCAGCGTGACATGAGCCGGCTGAAGAGGATTCCCTGGAACCGTGTCTGATGGAGAGGTGTTGTTCCAGCTCTATGTTCCCTAAGGAATCAAGCAGCATAATAAAAAAAATCAGACTTAACATTAAAACAGTAGTAAATAGTTGTCTGATCAGCATAGATGCCAACTTAAGAACTGATGATGTCAGGAAGGCCGTTGGTGAAAATTAGGAACAATATAGATCCAAGGATAAAGCCATTGTGATACTCATATTAATACAAAAAGATCTAGAAGAGTGGCCATTCAAGATGACTTTCACTTTGCAATTTGATAAGAATGTGAATTTCTTCATTCATGGGGTCAGGAGGTCTTGATACCTATCACCAATAATACAGTCACTGTATAAATTAGTTCTTTAAAGTACAATTTAAAATTTGTTCAAATGTTTCTCTCCTTGTAGACCGATGTGGAGTAGTTCATGTTCATGAGAATCGCAAAGTGACTGGAGGCAGCCGAGCTGAAGATCACATGACGAAGTGTGCTCTACAGGAGGTACTGCAAGAGAACAAGAACTCCCAGCAGTTAGCAATTGAGTGTGAACCTTACCAACAGGTAAATACTTTAACTCCATAAGAATCTGTTTGTAGAATTACTAATCTGAAACACATTTTCTAAGGATAAAAAAAAATGTAATAATTTATCCCTTCCTTTCCTCTGGTCAAATTTGACATGTGGTGTTTTAAGTGGGTCATCCACACATTTTCCTGATAATGGCTGGCTTCTCATTTCTGAACATACCTGTCTGCTAGGGCAGGCCTAGCCAATCCCTATTGCAAACACTTTCTCAGACACATTTGTTTTTGTTCAACACTTACAGAGTTCACCTGTGGTTTATACTGCAATTATGCTGAGCAGACCATAGTTATAGTTTTTGGAAGAGGGCGCATCATCTGGCATGGTCAACAGTTTAAACAAGACCAGTATGCTCAAACCCTTGCAACTTCATTCTTGCACAACCATCGACAGCCTCCAGGCAGTTCTGTCAACCCATTGTATAGTTTATTGACACTTTCCAAAAGTGCTACATACTGGGATTGCTTTCACAGATTGATAACATAAGAAGTCACCTTCATGAAAAATCGCCCTTGCTGAGATTTGAACCAGGGTCTTGTGTTCATGTTTGAAAATTCAATGTTTTAACTACTTGGTCATGAACCCATATATTTTCTTGATAAGTATGTCATTCTACCAAATTTGGTTGGTTAATACCAATTTAGTTGTAAAAAAAAATATTGACTTGTATAATAAAATATGACAGTGTTGATCCCTACTAATTGGGGATGAGTAGTAAATGTAAACTTAAATGTAGTTGGAGTTTTTCGAATTACAGAGTAATCTCCCCTTTTTTATTTGCAGCTATTTACAATATAAATGCTAAAAATTGTGAGTGACTTGATGCTGTGCCTAATTTTAGGCTTTGGATAGACTTTGAGTAAATTTAAGATAAAGAAATTCTGACTACATATTGTTTATTTTATCTCTTATCTGCTTTTTAACATTTTAGTCTGATAGTGAAGAAGAAGAAGAGAAGAAACCAAGAAAGAGGAAATCTAAAACACTTATTGACCATAACACTCCACAAATGATGACCCTTAATCATTATCAGGTTCTCTACGGTAAAACACCAGAAGCCATGTTAAGGTGTGTTTTCTCTTCTTTTTTTTTTTTAACCTTTTTCTCTTTATCTACAGTTTTTCCAATATTCTCAGGGTATTTTTTTAAATTGGTAATAAACTGCTATTCTGTGAACAGTGTAAAATCAATACGACCAAGGTATATACATTTATTACAATTAAATGTTATTACAATGGGCAATGGTGGACTATGCAGCAAATCAATGCTGAAAACACAGGAACGTGGCATGAACAATGCCTCGGATGGTCCAAAGATTTTCCACATTTCGAGTATGGATGGTTTCATCATCAGGATACACAAAATGCTGCTGATGAATAACAATGTCATAAGAGAAATGAAACAGATCAAAAAGTCATTTAACAATATAAAATGTCAAAATATCATATAAAGATATAAAATCCATTTAAGATATAATATGCTTAGATTTCTGATTAGACCACCCTTCAAATCAAACTATCTGTTGAGAAAGAAAGTTTAAAATTATAGAATTTGTGTCAATTTTGCATACCTATGAAAATGGAAGATTATAAGGTGCATTTGAGACACTTGATGCTTTTTTTTGCCGTAAAGGCAGAAATGCATCATAAGCAACAAAAAAGATATGCGCTGTATACGGTAAAGGTGCTTTAGTTGACAGAAATGTACAAAAGTGATTCGCTATGTTTATAGTTGGTAATAGAAGCTTTATTGGTGAAGAACACTTAGGCAGCACCCCCCCCCACTACAGATGACGACCAAACCATGATATTGATTGAAAATAACGCACATTACACAATGCAGAAATTTGTAAGAAACACTAAATTTATCAAAATCTGTCATCCACAAGCACTTAGTGAAGCTTGGATACTTAAACCACTATGATGTTTGGGTGCCACATGATCTGAGTGAAAAGAATCGTTTGGATTGTATTTCATCTGTAATTTGGTGTAAAAAGGCAATGAAAATGCACCCTTTTTTTAAGTAAATTGTGATGGGTGATGAGAAATGGATCGTTTACAACAATGTTTAGCAATATAAATCCTGGGGTAAGCGACATGAGCCAAATTTAGCCACCTCAAAAGCAGGTCTTCATCCTATGAAAGTAATGCTGTACATCTGGAGGGACTGGAAAGGAATCTTGTACTATGAGCTTCTGCTAAGTAACCAGTCAGTTGATTCTGAAATGTACTGCACACAACTGGACAGCAAATAAAAAAAAAATCCCCAGAGTTGGCAAACAGGAAAGGTGTTGTTTTCCATCAGGATAATGCCAGACCTCATGTTTCTTTGGTGATCTGGCAAAAATTGTTGCAGCTTGGCTGGCATGTATTACCCCACCCACCATATTCACTAGGCATTGCTACTTTGGATTTTCATTTATTCAGCTCCTTGCAAAATAATCTCAGAGGTAAAAATTTTAATTTTTTGGATGACATGAAAAACCACTTTAATGAATTCTTTGCCAAGAAGCCACTGAAATTCTGGGAAGATGGAATCTTTAAGTTGAAGGAAAAATGGAGAAAGGTTGTGCAACAAAATGGTTAATAATTATTTGAATAAATATTTAATGGCATAATTTTGTTTTGTATTTTAATTTCCATTCAAAATTGGTATAAATATTCTGGACTTCCCAATATATATATATATATATATATATATATATATATATATATAGTATATCACTGGTGAAAGGTGACTTGGGAACCAGGGCATGCAGTCCATTATGCAGGCTAAGGTAGAGAGGGAAAAGGGGAACCTCATTCTGTGCTAACATTCTGTGAATGTGATGTGAACTAATTTTAATGTGAGAAAATACACTTCTACCAACAGGGTCCACTTCAAACTTGATACCTTTCTCCACTTGACAATGTCTTCACCCCCTGGCACCAATGAAGACCACTGTTGGTTACACTATTAGTTAGCGATAACTTCAACAATACTAAATACTGTGAGGATTTTAACACACTGATGTGTGTTGTAAAAATTCTAGTTTTGGAAAAAGGCATCTCTCATTTTGTTGCCAATCCAATTCAGTAAATTAGGTTGCAATCATCTGGATTTATAATTTTTTTCTAGAGAACTGACAACAAAAATGTTAAACGTTATATATTAAACTGTTTAATTACCAGAATACTTTTTGTTTCAATTCTCAAGAAAAAAGAGAATGTATAAAAATCCAGTTTCATATGTTTGGGTTTTCTTAAAATTCTGTCAAGAGATGTTAAACTTTGCACCCTTCTTTAATTATTAATTCTTTTTCTAGATTTATAAATTATAATCTTTTTCTGTGTTTTTTGCGGGTAGGAGGATTTATACTTTTTCTATTAGGACTTTGAATAAGTTCTTGCTGATTTTTCATGAAGAGTAATGTTTTATTTACAAAAATTAGTAAAAAACATGTCACTGAAAGTATTGTTCATCATGAGCCACTACTTTTTCCCATCTTTCTGGCAGCATTTGAATTCCACGTCAGAAAAATGACACGTCTTTTGAGGCTAATCATGAGTCAACCCATTTTTTAGCATCTTCATAATAAAAATACTGCTCAACCAGGTCACGTGCCATTGATCGGAACAAGTGATAATTGGATGGGGCAATGTCTGGTGAATACAGTGGGGTAGGACATCCCATTTAAGTATTTCCAAGTAGGTTTTCACCCATTTTGCAACATGTGACCTAGCATTGTCATGTTGCAAAAACACTTTGTCATGTCTCTGCTCGTATGGTGGACCTTTTTTCTTCAATGCTTGGCTCAAATGCATCAATTGTAGTTGATAGCTACCTCCCAGGATGGTTTCAGTCGGTTTGAGCATCTCATAATAAGCTATACCCAGCTGATCCCACCACTTTAGCTCCCAGAAGTCGACCCATCTTCACTTCAGTTTGCTCCATTAGCAATCTGCCCACCCTCTGAAATCAAAAACACACTGTAGCAGAGGAGTGAATGGTTGTGAACAGACAAATGCTGAATAGAACCATATTCGTCATGATATCAGCAATAAAGCAGCCACGTGTTAACAAGTGAGAAGTCAGCTAGATGGTAACCACAGTGCTCTGAAGGAACTTGAAGACCAACACTAGGCATAGACTTCTGGGAGCTACACAAAAAATATGAATTCTTTGGAATAAAGAATTATCTCGGGTTAAAAATGTAACAACAATTTGGTTTATATACAATTTGTTGTATACAGCAGTTTTAACCCTTCCCACATGTTGTTATAATCAAATAACACTGGGATCCCCTTTGGGGTCTGCAACTTGTGTTAGTAGTAACTTAAATTTCTAAGTTCTGGTCTTTGGGGCTGGCACAAGGTGTTTCTCAGGAGGTCTTGGTGAATAATGTGGATTCCAGCAGCAGTAGTGTAGTGTCCAAATCTCCAGCTTATATGGAGTCTTGTGTCTAGCAGGGGTGGGGTTAACCAGGCTCTGGGTTTGGTTATCTTCCACCCTTAGGATCAACCTTTTTCTAAAATTCCATATTTTACAATATATTTTTACCTGAGTGATTTTCTAAATTTAGGTGTTGTCCATCCCCCTTTTGAGAGTGGTCAGAGGAATCAAGCCACCCCTTAACTCCAACATTCTTCACATCTCATCGTGTACCATCACTCCATATAGGTGGTGCTAATCTCTTTCTCTTCCTTCTCCCACTTTCTCAGCATTTAACCTCAGCCCATTCCAAGGGCAGGCACACCATCCCTGTGACAAATCCAGACTTTCAGATGCTTTCCTGCTTGTTGAAAATCCTCCTTTGTTGTTCCAGTCTTTAAGAACTCGGGTGAACTGTCTGACCTTTGAAATTATCAGCCTTCTACCTCTTTTTGGCAATCTACTAGAGGCCCTAATCAAGTCTGAATTGGTTAAGCATCTCACATCGCAGGGCCTTTTTTTCAGACAAGCAATATGGCTTTTGTTTTTCCAGAACAGCTGCTGATGTACTTACAATAATTGCTGAAAAGGTCTATCTAGCTTTAGATAACAATAGTGAAGATTAAGCTGTTGCTTTGGACATCTCAAAAGTGTTTGACAGAGTTTGGCATTAAGTTGAAAGGCTATGCTATTTCTATACAAATTTTTAAACTGATTCAGTGTTTCTTATTCTTATATTGAAAATGAAATAATGTTTCTCTTTTTTCTTATTCTTTCACACTCAGTAACCCCCTTGTGTCTTAATGGCTTTACTGCCTTGCTTGGGGTGAAATGATTAGAAAACAAATTTAAACGCAATGTCAATCGCTTTCTACTGTCTTCTTGATTACTCTTCTTTTGTTCTCACTCTTTAATAATGTTTCTCTCTTTTTATTCTTTCACACTCAGTAACCCCTTGTGTCTTAGTGACTTTACTACCTTGCTTGGGGTGAAATGATTAAAAAATAACGTTTTTTTTTTTTGTTTCTCGTTTTTTTACAGAAAACATTTGATGAGAATGGCTAATTTCTTGGGGTTTAGCTCACTCCAAACACTCTGCCAGAAAGTTATCAGTGTATCAGCTGAAGAAAGACTTCAAATGTTACAACAGTTTTATATCAGTGCTCATGGCCACTGGTTGAAACCCTTGTTCCAGTCCCTTCCAAAACCAACAGCTGGAAAATCTATCATTACATATTCCGGTAAGGTATTTAAAGAAGGTGGAGGAGACGTGCCAAAAACTTCTCAGGTTCTAACCCTTTCCTATTTCCCCAAATCTGACCAAATTAACAAATGTCAGAATTTTAATATCACTTGTTCGTTGGACCAAGATTTCTTTCCACCCTCTCTCATTTGTATCCCTGTTTGTTTTATATACACCAGAATGTTGGGCACCAGAATGTTTCCTTGGTGAAGTCTGTTCTGGGCTAGACCTCCATGACATCAAATTTTCTCTCCTATGGGCTCAGCCGAGAGCGATCATTTCTTGAGTAGCATTCTGATATAGCTTCCACATGGTTGCTAGAATTGTCAGCAATATTTGTCCCTATGCAAATGAGATGCTTTTATTCAATCCTTTGTAGGAATTCTGACCAATCGGGATTTGTTTACTCTTTTGACTCTTGATGTTTTCCTCTATAAGTGTGTATACATATATGTATACAAAGGATTATCTAAAACAAAAAAGTTCCCAAATCAACATGCAAAAATCCCATAAACATAATGTCTTCTAGACATACACACATGAACATCCAAATCCCACATAGACAAACTAGAATTATGATATACGTACATACATAAAGCAATATTTACGATTTTTCCGTTAGGCTTGGATGGACGTGTCATCTCTCCTTGAATTCGGAATGCCACAAATTATACTAGCGTTGGTTTAAAAAGTTGAATGCATGTGAAGCATTATCAACCAATGAAAATCAAACAACACAAAAGGAAAAATACCAGAATTTGTTCTTTTTCTCCATATCTCATTCTCTGATGAAGCCTTAATAAAATTGAAACATGTTAGATTGATAGACGTTTTCTATATGTTCTTTACCTTATCATTCTGTCAGATTTCAATCCATATTCTAGTCTTGGGTATGACGATAAATTACATCCAGTAGCAAGGCCTCTGATTGGGAGATTGGATGTTCTGAGGAGCATGGAACCATCTCTTAATTGCTATTCTTCCCTGGTCCAACCTGATCCAGAGTGGTAGCACCTGTTAGAGTCTCAGCTATGGACAAATAGGGAACCCCCAAACAAAAACAAGTATAATAATGCATTTTTATAGTAAAATGACCAATAATGCATTTCATCTGTAGTTGAAGGCATGCAATTGCGTTCAAAATATTTAGATTTTGGCATTAAATAATAAAGGTGTTGATATGCAGCTAAACAAAATTAAACAACAAACTCTGATCCATATTTGATCTCAACTCATACAAGAGATTCTAAAAAGAAGAAATATTCCCCAGAATTCAGATTTTTGGTTAATTCAGACAGAAATTTGGTTGTCAAGAAGTGGATTAGGGTCAGAACTTTTCAGTTTTTTTTGTTTTTTTTTTTTGATGGGTGAATGAATTTTGAAAGCAAAATTTTCAGAAAAAGTACAAGTCTACAAATATTCAAAAAGACTAAATAAAAGATAATGCTAGAGTGTACAAGTGTCAAGAAGCCATGAGAGACTTGCACTTTTCGGCCATTGTACACTCCGGCCTTCTTCAGGTGGTTGGAACGTCGAACTGAACCTTTTATTTCGCTCACCTGGTAGACTCTTCTACTTCCACATTCCCAAATAATGTAAATAGTGTACATAATACCTCATCTCAGAAATATAGACACATGGCACAGTGGATAAAGGTGTTGGTTAGATACAGTGACAGGACCCAAAGAGTGTGAGTTCAATACCTGTTTAAGGTGGTGGATAACTTGGAGAGGGGAATTAACAGGAGATAACTGATAACTGACATCCATTAGACATGCCACGTGGAACTAGAACAGTCTACCCCAGTGAGCGAAATAAAGGGTTCAGTTCGACATTCCAACCACTTGAAGAAGGCTGGAATGTACAACGGCTGAAACATTGTAATAAATCTGGTGACAAAGACGAGGACAATCGTCTGAATAATGTAAATAGTGTAGATAATACCTCATCTCATAAATATAGACAGATACTGAAAGATGGAAGCATCGAACAAAGAAAGAAAGAAAGAAGGAAAGAAATGGAAAGATGAAAGCATTTTATCCTAACCATAGAAGTCACGCCCTAGGATGAGAAATGCTTGAAAACTCGACTTCTACACTGCAATTTATGGCAGTTATGAACAAACTCACTGTCCTTCTTCTCCTATTTGCCATGTCTCTTCAGGGGTCAAGGTTCTCCACTACTTCCTGTCCATTGTAGCTCTTAACAATATTTGTTCTTTAACTATCCCTCCAAATTCCCTGTTCTGCCATCCATTTACACAAGCTTGTTAGTTAGGTTATTTGCTCTTTCCCTTTGTCCATCTTGCCTTTAATATGTCCTGTGAGTATTACATTCTCCACACCCTCTTTCCTCATTTTTCTCTATTGCTATTCAAAAATGAATTGTCACCATGTAATACATTATGCTTTTTTATTTTATTTTTAACAGATGATAAGGCAGTCTCTACTAAAAGACAAAAGGTTACATGGAAGGTCAAACCAAAAATAACAAAACCCTTACCAGTTTTGGATTCTGAGATGGAATTAGAAATTGGAAAAAGCTGGAAGAAATCCCAACATCAGACACCACAGACCCGAACCCGTACAAAGCGGACAGTCCAGATTAAGTCAGATTCCATCTCCTCCAAGAAAAAACCATCAAAAGTTAATTTCTCGATTCAAGAATTTCATCCAACCAGCAGATTGCATGTTGGCAGTGATTCTCATAATCAAGACCAGGAAATTACCACCAATATTGATAGACTTTTAGACGAGATGGCATTAAATGCACCAAGTGATGTACCCCATAACAACTTGAGCTGCAGCAGTGAAGGCAAATCCAATGTGTTCTCTGAAGTGGATCATATCTTTCTTGGGTCTGGATCCAGGGAAGGAGAAGTGCGGAAACCTCCTCCAAAAAAACGGACAAGAGCTACAAATCTCAGTACTGAAAGAACATCTCCGGAGTCCTCAAGAAAGCTCATGCCAGATGCTGCAGAGAAAGTTTCCAGCATTTACAATTCTGTGGATTTTTTGGATGATCTGTTAAAGAACTCCACTTTGAAAGAATCTGTTGACAATAATACCATTTGGAAGAAGCACCCTTCTTCGTCTAAATGGAAAGCACGACAAAAATTCAGCGACCATGTTAGCCAAATTCTGGAGAAAGATGAGAAGGAATACATGTCCTTGTTTGCTTCTGGGAAGATGATTCGTGTTAATCGGTCTTTGGTTAAGGAAGGAGAAAATGAAGCTGAGGAAACACCGAGTTTATTTTGAGAATTTCTTAAAAAATTAAAAAAACTTTTTTTAATATAAAAGTAATAAAATTTATTTAGAAAATGTTTAATAACTAAAAAAAAAAAAAAAAAAATATTTGAAATATCGATCAAAATTTTTTTAGAAATACAGAGAATGTATTTTCATTTTTAAAATTCTTCATTGTCAAAATCCGACCCTGCATACTTCGAAAACGAATTTTTTTTAAACGTTGAAAAACATTAATTCGAAAAATCATGAAACGTTTTTGTTGCATATTTTTAACAGTGTAACTGAAACGATTGCCTCTGGGTGGCAAAATTGTGGGTGCTCTAAAATATACAAGGGTGTGTGGATGGTGTAATGGATAGTGGATCAAAATGAGGAATCAGAGAGCTGAGTTTGAATTCCAGTTTGGTTTGTTACACTGACTTATGCACCAATACTCTGGCGAAAGGTATGAATCCACCTCCCCCAGCTATGGGTTAAATAGTATGACTTCTTTCTGGAAAAATTCATTGTTATTCACAAAATATTGTTAATATTCACTTGTAAAAAAAATAAAAGAATTATTCTTACAATTCAAAACGTTTCAGCTTTAAATAATCCACAAACGGTTGACAAGCTGTAAAAAAGCAAATAAACCAACCAACCAATCAGTCAATTAAAAAATCTGAAATAAACAAAGGGACTTAAGGAAATTCATTCTTGTTTTTTTACAGAGAAAACTAATTTAAATAAAAAGTTGGATTTGTAATTATTTAACGGAAATATTTGCTTACAACTTTGTATTTAAAATCATTTGTAGGATATTTTCCATTGTTTTGTAAGAAGTCTTCTCAAAATTTTAATTTGGAAAATATAAACATCACTTACAAAGAAAATCTAGTTTTGAACAGAGCAGACATATACATCCATAATAATTCTTTCAGCCCTTTTTTTTTTTTTTTTTTTTAAAAAAAAAAAAAAAAAAAAAAAAAAAATCTCGAGGTGGTGTAATGGTTGGCAAGCTTGTCTTGCTAGCACAATTATGACTGAGTAGTGAGCTCGATCCTCACTGGGTGCCCCTATACTTTTCGGCCTCGTGCCACATCTGAGCTATGCTTGGAAAATCACTATATATATATATATATATATATATATGAAGAAATAGTCTTAAGATGTGCTATTGCATCTAATATGAAACAGACTGTCGCCTCTAAGTGTTGACTTCTATGTTAACTTATATATATATATATATATATATATATATAACACGCTATTTTTAGTGGATACCCACATTTAAGTAGATGCTCTGTATATTTATTAAACAGTATATTTATTTTTGTCTACTGGCCTTAATATTTGAGAAATCGTATTAAATAAGTATGTGCTCTCCTCTGGGTTGGGGATACTGTCCTTATGAGATTCAACATGCTTTAGACCATCAAAGCCACAAAGTGCGTTGATGATGAAACAAAGTTGAATAGTGCCTTATAAGTGCAAATCTTTCTCAGACTCTCGAAATATACATATCTACTCAGTTTTGTATCCTAAGGTAAACAAAACAATTTATTCTTTTTCATTTTCTCACTGAAATAGTCTTTTCCTCTTTCTGCTTGATCAAAATGGAATAGCATTGGCAGGAAACATTAAACACTTATCCCCCCTTATTTCTTTCTCATCAAATACCTGACTTACAAATATTTCTCTTAATAATAATAATTTTTAAATAATTCAAACAATTTTACTTTATTTAATTTATGATTATTTACTGTGTTTCCTTTCAATATTGTACATTTGAAAAATGGAAGTTTTATTGCAGTTGCCATCACTTCTCGGCCTTTTGGCTAAGATCAAAGTGTAGTATCTGTTCTTATCTACTTAATCTGATTCAAATTTTCTCTCTCTACTTCTTTTATTTTCTCACTGAAACCAAGTAATGTTTTTTCTGTCTTTCCACACGATCAAACGTGGAATAGTCAATTATTTCTGAGGTATTGACAGGGTTGTAACGGCATGCTAATGAACAAACGAACAAGCACAATTATAATAGGATGGTGAAAGATAAAAATTGCACAGTATTTAAAATGTATATCATATTAAATTGCATTATTTATCATTGTACAAGAAGCTGTAGCTTTGAAAGGATGAATCAGCATTTTGGTTCACTATTTCCTTCTTATTGAGAAAATCACTTGCAAACTGGTGATGTTAGGAACTGAAAGGTAACATTTATTTGGAGGTCTGTTTAAATTAACTGAGTCTCTTAACAAAATTTGAGAAATTTTTTTATCCTTTTAAAATGAATTTAAGATATATAATTGTTAAACAGAAGAACTGAAATAATGGCGAGGTGTAGACATATGTAAAAATATTCTCGGCCTCTATGATCCTGGATGGAGAATTTTTTTTTTTATACCTCCTCCCCTTCTGGTGACATAGTTGTATTATTGTCATATGGTTTTACATTTACTGCTCGCCACTTGAAGAGACCTGACAGTTGAAACCAAGGTTGTGTGGTTACATAAAGCATTCTTGTTCCTTTATTTTTTTATATATATATATATATATATATAAAAATGGGTTTAAATCATACAGATTTTAATTCATTTATTTAAAAAATAACTTGCATTATTACAACTGTTATCCTCATCTTCATTGCAATATTCACGTTTCAGCCTTCTTCAGGTGATTGGAGTTTCAAACCAAACCTTTTATTTCGTCCACCAGGATAGATTGTTCTAGTTCTACATGCCATGCCTCTTCTGGAAGTCTCAGTTATTTTCCTTTAACTCAACTCTCCAAGTTTTTGAATCGCCACTGCTATGGCCTGGTATTGAACTCGTAACTCTTTAGGTTTAGTCACTGGATCTAACCAACGTCTCCTTGAGGACATGTGCCTGAATTTTCCAATTAATTTGTGGGCGGTGATCTCTCTTTCCCCTCAAAGTAATTAATTTTGCAAATGAACATGCTTATAAAGATGCGTAAATTTCAAGATTGGTTATTCCTAAATTTTCACTTGAGAATGAAACGGCTTGATACTTTAATTCAATTTAATTTTAATAATTATATTGAGGTTTTTGGCTCTTGTTTTTGAAACCTGAGAACTCTTATGTAGTGAAGGAATCATTTTTTTTTTTTAAATAATTATAATTTAAGCTCTACTTCTGTATGGAGCACTGATTTTTAAAAATAAAAACAAAAATACTAAAGAACCCCGGATTATTTACTTAACGTGTTCTTTCCTATTTTTCTACATATTTGCACAGACACACATCATATATATATGTGAAGAAATATAGTTTAAAAGTGTGCTATATTTATGGGATAAAGTGCTCAACATCATAAACATAAAAGTGAACATTGAAGTCAACACTCAGAGGCGACAGGCTGTTTCATGCTAGATGCAATGGTCAGGCCTGTCGATTGCATCTAGCCACACTTAAGGACAGCAATCAATAAAAGAAGAAGAATTAAGACAGAAGGTAACGACTGAGATTGATTTTTTAAAATTTAAATGCAAAGTCCACTGTGAAGCAAGAAGACGGAAGGGAGTTCCACAAGCGAGAAATGCAATAGAAGAAACAGTATAGAACTTACAGTTAAAATAGCTAGATGTAACTTTAAGATGACGAGACCTTGCTGCCAATGTTGTATTGTGCTTAAATTCATAAAGCCTAGATACCAGAGATGAAAATTCATATTTATAGAAAAGGCACAAGGAAGCTACATTATGGCGGTGGGAAAGTGACTGAAGCTGAGATGCCAGATCAGGAACAATAACATTGCAGATTCTTTAGATTTTATCAAGAATCTCCGAATATATAGCAGAAACACCAGACCCAACGTGGCAGCAATATTCAAAGCAAAGATGAAAAAAACGTTTTTAGTTTATGCAAGAACAGAAAGAAATTGCTTTAATTACTAATTGATCTTTTACAGCAAAGACGCCAGACAAATTATTTTTTGAAATACACTTTTTAATAAGAAAACAGTTTAATGAAAAGTACATTTTAGAGGCATGTTTGGCCATAATTTAGGTTGGACCATATCAACAATACGGTCAAACTCCATCTGCAGGGCAGTTTCCATGCCATGAATGATTCCAGCCTCTTTTCCATAAAGTTGTTTCATTTGAAGTGTACGACGAGCTCCAGGACGTTCTGATGGGGGTAGATGACTGGCTTCTCTTGGTTGGTCAGCTACTGTTGGGAAAAGCAATAAATTAATGGAAATAGTTTACCCTAAACATTCAATACTTCATATAGTATTTTTGGTTAATTGCATATCAATTCGTTAATGGATCATTTAATGCCAAAATCTAATTGTCTTGGAAGATTTGGTAATTTCTTTCTTTATTATTTCAAAAATGTATTGCTGCAAGATTTTTTTTTCTACGAAAATGTATTGCTGGTATTTTTACTATAAAAATATATTTTTATATTTTCATAATGTTTTGATCCCAGTTTGGGTGGTTACCCATAGCTGGGACCAACGGCAATTAAGAAGTGGTTCCACACTCCTCAAAACCTCCTGATCAGAGAACTTGCTACCGGATGTAGTTCATCGTCATACCCAGGACAACTTAATATAGAATAAGCCTTTACCAACCAAGGAATTACCAATTGTAAGAAACTCACCATTCACAGAATTGACAACAAAGATTTCTCTTTACCATGCTTGGCCTAATCAGTAAAAGTTTTATGTTAAAAGTTTTTTTGTTTTTTCTTGACATAGGAAAATATTAACTTAAATGTCTGCAAAATCTGAGCCTCTTGCGTGCAAATTTTCCTATTTTTAATTACAATTTTCAGTACGTGATTTTCTTACCTAAATAATGGGTTTTTCAGTTCCTATTAATGTTAAATCAAAGTACAAAGTTTGAAGTGCCTGCATGTAAAATATTTCAAATAAAGATTTATATTTAATATTTTTTTTTGATATTTTCAAAATCAGGTATGATATACCCATGGTTGGTAGTGGTGTAACTTTAATTGATGGTTAGTGTTCTAAGGTTAACAAGAAAAAAGAAGTAAACGTCAACCAAAGATAATTAACCATTTCAGTGAATACCTTGTTAGTAGCATGGCTTGACTTAACGTCCGGTAAATCCTAAATCAAAACCTAAGTAATCGACGCACAATAATTCACACTAATTCGACTGGATAGTTCCACTCAATAATCACTCCAGTCAGTAGCCTGACACCGCTATTTATACACCTGGTGGGAAAAAACATTCATGAGTCCAAAGTGTCCCGCTTGAACCACAGTGTTGGTAGTTACTCATTTTCTTGCCATATGGCAGTAAGGAAACTGAAAATTTCTCAACCCAAACAAGAATAGATTCCAAAAGTAATTGCAATATTTCATCATTTTGGGAAATATACCAGTACTCCCCCCTCCAAAAAAACTTTTCATCACCCCCTCACATATAGTTGTTTGCATGTGTGGATTTTGCAAGGAACCTATCTACTTTAGATAATGACAACCTTCTGCATTTGTCTGCTCAGAAGACACAGATTTTACAATACCATTGTGGAGGGTGCTACTGTTCATTGTTACTTTGCGTTCATGAGGTTAACAAAACCAAATGTCTTACATTTTTGTTTAACTGTAAAGAATAGACAAACTAAAAATATCTGCGCCAAAAAACCAAACTGATGAATGACATTTACCAGTCACCAGAAAAATCAAGACTTTCAAAAATGTGACATTTGCATACACAGGTTGAGAATCCTTTATCTAAAATTCTTGGGACCAGAACTGCTTCGGTTTTAGGATTTTTTTTATTTATTTTGGAATATAGGCTATTTAACTTGTATATGGCATCTATAAAATGTGGCAGCTTGGAAATGGAACCCAAGCATAAATACGATATCCCTAATAACACAACTTAGACATATACCCTGAAAGTAGGTTTATATAAAAATTAATAAATTTTATGTACATACAGGTAATGACAGATTTTTAAGTGGTGAAATTAAGATTTCACATAAAAATAATGTTTTGTACTTTCTGTATGCATACAAAAAAAAAAGAAAAAAAACCTGATTGCTAGTTACAAAATATATATATAAATGCAGGACTTTTTTAATAATATCTTTACAGAGTACAAATTTCCACTAAATAGACAGAGACATTAACCTTTTGTTGATGTTTAATATGATATTTCTCACAAAAGCATATTTCGGTTTTCTGTGTTTCTGTTGTAGAAACATAGCCAATCTGTCATTTATACTGCAACTAAGCCTAGCAGACTTTTGTTGCAGTTTCTGAGAGTGCATAATCAACCAAGATCAATACATACAAACCATCAAACACGACGACTTATAAGCTTGTGCTAGCGCAATCACTGACAACTTCTAAACTATTTTTACCATTGCTCCAGAATCATCAAAAAAAAAAAAAAAAAAAAAAATTAATTCCACTCCAATTTTAAACTGTCTTGAAGTCAAAACCTGTTTTTTCTTTAAACTGTTATTTATAATAATTGTTAGTTGCAAAACATCATTGATATGTTTAGGAAAGAAATATTTATATGAAGAGAATATTAGCACATCCCAATTCTTCACAATCAAAACCATTTTTTTTTTTATCAAAAAAGTTCATTTACAATTAGTAGGCATTGCAAAATAAAGGTAGGGCCCAGCTTAGGTAAAATTCAGTCCTTTAGTGGTGAAACTGGAGTGATCTTTTCAGGTGCAGGTCTGGGTGATAGTATAAAGGTCACTGTGAGCTGCCCAGACTACAAGTCCCTCTCCACCCTCACTTTCAGCTGTACTGACAAGATCCAAAGGAATACAGGATATTACATTAAGAGCCAGCTTGGCTGCAGGAGTTGCCAGCATTTACAACCAACCACTTTTGGGGCTCCACTCCAGATTTTCTGTCTGGATTTACTTCCATAGCCTTTTTTATGTTTGGTCGGATATGACTGCAAGACAGCAGAGGTTCAAAATCAGGGTTTTCCTTTCCCTAGATGGACTACCTTTCGAGGCTGTTGAACTCCATCTACCCAAAGTAGTTGTTATGAGGCACCAGTTGTCTGCCTTTGCACATTCTTTAGCTTGGAGCTGGAATAATTTATTCCCACAATCAACTTCAGGCTGTGACAACCTTAGAAACATATTATATATGGATGAGATAATGATATATAAATTTTTATATATCAAGAACAATATTGGGTGGCGAGGAGGATGTATGACAAAGTGGAAAACCTTTTTTTGATGTTAAGGTCCCAGCTACAGGCAAATAATGAAGCCCCAAACTTGGGTTGAAACATTATGAAAATACAATTTTTATAGTAAAAATACCAGCAATACATTTTCATAGTAATAAAATTTACCAGGAATAAACATTTTTATAGAAAAATAAATAAATAGCAGCAATACATTTTTGAAGTAAAAAAAAAAAAAAATTACTAAAACTCCCAAGAAATATTATATACATTACATGTTTTAGAAGCTCTCCAAGAAATTAATGCTTTTTAAATAAACGATTGTTTATTTATGTATGACTATTTTGTAATGTCTTGCTTTCTTGTGTTTCTCTTTATCTTTTTTTTTCACCTGCCTCACATTGTGACTAAATTTTCTGATTATTTTATTTTTTAAATCGAGTTTGTGACATTGAAAAAAAAAAAAATAAATAAATAATTCATTCAAGTTTATTTAACTAAAAAATTAACAGAAAAAAAATTTTTCTTGCTTTATTTATTAAAGCAAAATTAGTTCTTCCAATCAGATTCTAACGTTGTCATTTAGAGATAAATAATAAAAATATCAAATTTTTTAGACTTTATTTTTAATTTGGCTATCATTCACTAGTTTAATAAGCTCTTAAATTTTGTCCAATTTGTGTGTGTGTGTGTGTGTGTGTGTGTGTGTCTCTTCCATTTATTAAAAGCCTGTCACTATTGGCAAGAATTAAAAAAATTTTATTTTAAGAAATTAGTTGCTTTTAGAATAAATATAATAGAATTGTAATTTTAAAAAAAAAAGTTTGTATCATCCTGACAATGTCCCAAGAAACTTGATCAGTTATCTCAAACTAATGTTTCATCATTGCTGGGATGACAGGAGGATGTTAATTTTGAGTTCCGTTCTGAACAGTTCCAGCTACCCAACTTCATTCACAAAGCTTGGGTCAATCCCCAACATGGTTTACAGACGCTTCCTCACAGTAGTACATGCTGGAATGGTCACTCCAACCCGATTTTATAAAGAAGACACCACCCAACATATTGATCATAAACCCAGTAACATTCAAACTAATTGGCTACATACTTCTCAGCTTGTGAAGATCCTTTTTGTTGGACGTCAGCCTCCCCCAGATCCAAGGAGATGAAGGGGTCATTACCCCACCAAACAGGTTCAATGTGTGTTGTTAGGGGTGGATGTGACACACTTCGGCGATCATGTCACTTTTTGATTCATGATCGGCCCAGGTGTATTTGCCTAAGTGAATGTAACGAACCTGACTGGAATTTGAACTAGGCTCTCCAATTTCTCATTCTGAGTCACTATCCATTACACTACTTGCACATCCAAGCTTACAGCATCTGGTATTCCAAAGCGGTCACCCATCTAGGTACTGACCAGTCTCAATGTTGCTTAAATTTGGTGATTGGACAAAAACTGACGTTTCAACATGATATGGCCTTAAGCCATTGTCAATACAAATAGCAGTAAATAATAAATCAAAAAAAAAAAAAAATTTAAAAATGCAAGCAACCCAGGTGGTGTGATAGAAATATGCCAACTTTAAAAAGAAAGTTCATTCAGTGTAGTAGAACAATACCAATGTTAGAAGATCAGTTAAAATTTTCAATGGTTGACTACCAACATACCAATTAGAAGGTTCAAGATTATTTCAGCAGTGAAAATATTACACCTGTCATCGATAGAATCTGCTATGTTTTCATCCAAGAGATGAATTCAGAGCCCAATTAAAGACGAAATTGCAGTAATGAGAAGATACAAGGTTGAATTACTTCACAACTAATTTTCCTTCTAATCTTTTTTCCTAGCAAGTGTGGGACCAAAAAGTCTGTGCACAAATAAAGAAGGGGAGCAGGTAGAAAATTTTACTTTTTGAAGTAATCAGAGATTATTAGAGGTTGTCAATGAATCATAGCCGATTTCTGAATGTGACTATGATTATACAAGATAGAGGTTTCCTGGGTGCTGGAATGTGGGGGTGATGGTGACAGTCGGGAGAGCACTACTGGAATTTGCAGCCATTCATTTTGCTATGCCCCACTTCTGTGACTTTTCTTTATGCTCCAACACAAATTTGTACTGGTTATTTTTGCTCCATTCTGCATTTGCGGCTGTTCCTTTTTATCCCCTCACACCACATTCGATGACGTTCCTTTTGCTACCCCCTAACATTTGTGGCTGTTCTTTTTTGCTATGTCCTGCATTTGCACCCCCCTTCATTTTGCAACTGTTCATCTTTTTTCTACAAAAAGAAAAGTTATTTGAAACTATAGCAAGAAGCTCTTTCTCCATGCAACGTTTTTCAATCAAAATCTACAATATCCTGATTGCGTAAATATGATATTTCATGAAAGTAATAAAAATTAACAATTTACTTACAGTCTTCAATATTTATACACTGGTCGTCATGTGAATTATTCTCCATTGTTTTTGTCATTTCTGGAAAAAAGAAGATAGATGAAGACATTGGAGACATGGCTTGATAGTAAATTTAGAATTGGCATTTTTGTCAAAAAAAAAAAAAAAAAAAAATACAGTACAATTTCAAATTTAAATTGATATAACATTACTGCATGAAACAGACTTATAGATACAAAAATGCTATTAGAAATCATTTGAATTTAAATTTGAACAGACTCTCCTGTATTTCAGTTTGGTGAATCTAGCAACTTCTTTAAAGTATGAACAAGTGCCATTAAAAAAAAGAAATAAAGTCATTAAGATGAATTAAGTACTATGCTAAAATGAATAATGCTGGACTGATTCATCTAACAACAACAACAATTCATGATATTACTACTACTACTACAACTAATGTTATAAAAAATCTGAAATTAAGATGAAAGAAATACAAGTGAAACATTAATAATGGTTGGCAATGTGTCATCTAATGATGAAATTCAAGATGATATTACTACTACTAATTACGATAATATTGGCTTAAATAAAGCAACCGAAATCAAGATGAATGGTGTGTTAAGTTTATGCCAAGTCACTTTCTATTAATTTGCAGAAAATTAATGGGATACTATTTTGTAATTAACCAAACCCCAGCAAATTGATTTCTCTATTCATTTTCTATGGCTTATCAACACTTTGCAGGTTATTTAAGGCCAGAAAATATTTTTAGATTGTAAGAATTTTTTTTGGTGATAATAATGATTTAGTTATTCAAGTCTTACTAATTAACCCACAGCCAGGAGAGAAGAGGTAGATTCATACCTTTTACAAGGATATTTGCACAGAAGTGAATATAACGAACCCAACTAGAATTGGAACTAGGCTCTTCAATTAACAGTTCTGAGCCATCCAGGCTTAAGCACCTGGTATTCCACCTAGGTATTGACCAGGCTCAATGTTGCTTAACTTTGGTGATCATACAGAGACCAGAGTTTCAACCTGATGTGGCCATAAGCTTTAAAATTAAAGTTAGTGTTCCTTGTTCTCCTTTTAATGCTTACTCAGAAAGAGTCACATGTCAATAAATGATTTGGGAACATATTTGCTTACAATTTAGAGAAACTGTTTTTGTAATAAAATGTAGAAAAGATCACAAGGGAAAAATGGAAAGAAAAAGAAATAAAACATTTAGTAATTTTGGTATTAACAAATAAAAAGATGTGATTGCCCAAATATTATTTATACAGCAATTAATCAGTAATGTTTATTTTGGTTTTTGTAATACACACACATACAAAAACCAGACCATTATTACTAGGGTGAGTATAAATGTTGACTCTACACAATTAAGTTACAAAATGTTCTGGAAATTTAATACTCTTTCTGAAACAAAAGTCTTCTTATGATGTGCTTTTTTTGCTCTATTTTACCCGCAGAAATTGGATCATTAAAAAGGACTTATTTTTTTTTAATTTTATTTTTTTAAATTTAAAAAAAAAAAAAAAATAAAATAAAAGATAGAGTGAGTGGCCATGATCAAATGCAAAATAAGTAACAGAACTGTTCAACAAAACAGAATTGACAAAGTTTGCAATAACAAGAAAAAGAAAAGGGCAAAAAATAATATAAAGCAAGCAAACAATATATGCAAGGCAAATTAACAGTAATAAAGCAAAGCAACAGTAATATGGCAAAATGTTCACAAACTAAGAATTGTTGTTGACACACAAAACATGTTTGGATAAGCAAATGTAGTGTTTTGACTGAGACAAGAGAGACCAGGACAGAATCAGATGAAACCGAGAACCAACCTATTTTAATGGCTAGGAAAAAATCCCGGCATGCATTTGTGTGCTTCTGCCTATAAAATGGGGAGGGGAAAGTATTTTGCAGTCATTCCTATTATGGAATTTTTTCTTTTTTTGAACTTGTCCATTTTTCTTGTGGAGTGGTCTGTGCCCAGTGTCTATGTCATGGGGGGCTGGGAATGACACACTTGGTGAGTCATCAACACGCCTTGAAGTTGACTTTCCTATGCCATGCGTTAACAGAGGACTCGATCTTGGAAGGGAGTATTAGGGACAGTTTCCCTCCTGTTTCAAGGGTTGAGGCTTGTCATAAAGCCCAGAATCAGTAGAGATTCTTCAGAGAGTGTCAAACACCCTTGAAGGTCATTCCTTAGTCCATTGATCCTTCAGAGTCTAGGAGACAATTCTATCGGGAATTAGTGGAGGGGGTCATGAAGGATCCTCTCCGTGGGCGGCTAGGCATGTCGGTGACTGAGATGCACTCTTTCTGGTCTTGAGCACCAGTGGCAGATTACCTCAGCAACCTTCTGAGTTTTCACTTACCTGGTGATTGATTCAGAATGTGCTATCTCTCAATGATGTAGCCTTCAGAGGAGATGGGTGGATTTGTCTGACTATCATCAGTGTGACCTTTGTCTAAAGGAAACAGTTCCGCATGCCTTCAAAAATTGTATGCTTGTGCACCCAATCTTGGACTATATCAGTGAGTTGACAGCTTGTATCAATCCTGAACATCGTGTTCATCGACCTTGCATATGCATGCAATAATTTTCTCTGGAGTGAAATGAATGATGGTATGGACGTCATAAATGGATGGAATCTTGGGATATGAACGCTGATCTTGTCAGATTCTTTGGACATCAGCTCAAGATGAAGATCAGAACTCATAGAAAGCATTTGTTATCAACAGATTTCAGCAAAAGTGGGTGAAAGTGTCGAGCTTGATTCAAGTGAATGGGGCCAGCCTTGATATTTTTTTTTAAGTCCCCTTTAATGCAATGGGGCAGTTTCCTGTAAAACTATCCCCTGGTTAAGTTAGACTATTTCTTGTTCAACTAGTTAATGTGAATAAATATTGTTCCCAGCATTCTCTTTTGTTATGATCTATGTCAAGATTCCAAACCTCCCCAGTTTGTTTTTTTCATCTCAACCGGGCCAGTCTTTGATTTTCCCCACTGTCATTTATTTTTATCCTTCCCTTTGCATTAGTGAGGTTCTTGATTCTGTCTTAAAGGCAGATTACAGCAGCTGCTCTCATTTTTGTGGGGTGGATGAGTCCTATTAACATCTGTTATTTTTAGTTTGAATGTTTGGTAATATTTTAGTTTCGTTTTATACGTTCGTCCCATTTCTCATTTTATGAGTATATATAAGAAAAAAGAAAGAAAAAGAGAGAAAAAAAAAAAAGACATTGAACTTTTTATTTCATGGTTTTTTTGTAGGTTCCCTATGAAGATATTGTATTGTATATTTAGGATCGAATGGTGAAGGATGAATTCTTGTGGTGAATGAGCAAATTGTAATAAATATATGGGTTGTGAATCTGATTAGTTAGGTCAAGGATAGTTAAATGTTGACCAGCCTTTCCCCTTTGACCTTGTGCCACAATTCTTATAATTCATAACAATAAATAACCATTCCCACTATGGATTGAAACCAACAGAAAATGATTTTAAAAGTTTGTGGGATAAATTCAGAATATGAAGCAAAAAAAAAAAAAAATCTAGTTGGAGTTATATGTAAACAGAGTGTGATACATATTTAGAGGTATGAGAATTACTTTATTATATGCTTTATTATTTGGTCAACTCCTCTTTGTTGTTAATGTTTTAGTTGCTGTATATTCTGGCCTTCTTTTGGTATCTGCTGTGATACTTGGTAACCTTAGAATTCTGAACTGAACACCTTATTGTTCTCATTCCGCTTTCCAGGCTTAAGGGAGATAACTCGTATCAGTTAATGCTCACCAGTCCTATTCACTTTTGTGTTACTTGTCCATTTTTTTTCCCCCACTGAACCTATGTATGAATGCTACATATACTTTAACCAATGCTATAATTCACTGAACAAAATATCTATTGGACAATACAGTTGTGTAATTTTAGAATCTTGAAACTCAAAGTTACCCAGTCTGATGACAGACAACTGAAGAAGACAAGAGGATACAATAGTTGAAACAATGAATATAACAACCAAGTTGAGCATGCAGGTCCAAATAGTGAAGCAGATGATGATAAATTCCTTATTTAAAAAATTCCAACTGAAAGGAATTTGCTTAGAAAGCATGAAACTCGTTTAGTCTAATATAAAACTTCCATCTTAAATTAATCGATATAATTTCAAATTGGTTGCTATTCCACATTACCTTAAATGAAAGGTTAGGAAGGAAACTCCCATCAATACTAGAAAGAATGATAACAGTGGGTTATTTTTTTTGAAAAACTGTTTTAAAAAATGATTGTATAAATTTTAACTGACATTAAAATTAATTTTTCAATCAATGAATACCTAATATTTTCTATATAGAAACGGCTAATTTCATTATTATCATTGTTTTTTTAAGGAAATGGAATAAAAAAGGCGCTACTTAAATAGACAGGTCCACTTGTAAAATAAGAGGAAGAATTTTTGTAGATTAGCATTATTTAGGTCTTAAGTTGCAACAAGACTGAATTGAAAAATATTGATTTTTTTATTGATTTAGAAGGGGGGGGCTGTTTATAATATCAAAAGAGAGCCAAATCAATCTCTGACTTTTACATAGTTTATTTACAAATGTTGTCTTGAAAATATGTTAATGTCATTGATATCTGCATTATTTTTTTTGTACTTAATTTATGTAAATTTTTGTTCTTTAATTAAAATGTATACATGTTTGTTCTTTAATGACAAATATATTTTTGTATAAAAAAAAAAGAATGAAAAAAAAAATGATTTTCCCAAACAATTGCTTGTTTAAAATATTTTCCTAAAATAAAACTCATAAAAATGTATATATCCATTTATTCTTTATTTAAAAGAAATCATTTTGTAAAAAAAAAAAAGAAAAAAAAAATGTCTGCTTTCATATGTAGATATCAATTATATAAATCATTCCAAACTTGACATTTGTAAGCACTGTAAAAAGTAAGGGATCGTGTTGATATTATAAACAGGAGCTGCCTAAAATTAAAAGAAACATTTTTTTGATTCTGACAAGTTTCATGGCAGAAGGAATGTTTAATGAACGCCCATCTACAAAAATTATTTCCCTTAAAAAAATATTTTTCCCTTATATTTGTTTTTTCAGGGTTTTTTTTTTAACAAGTGGACAAGTCTATTTAAGTAGTTCCAAAAATAAAAGGTAAGTATACAGCTTAGGATTGACTTACCTTTTTTTTTCTTCAACTCACTGGATTTGACAAGAAATTCTCGCCAGGCATCTGTAATTTCTACTTGGAATTCTTCTTCTCCCTGACTAGACAAGCCTGTCTCTCTTGAAGAAGTAACAGACTTACATGATTGCCTCTGGGTGACAGTCTTTTTTTTCTGTTTCTTGTGTTTCCTGTATTTCCATCCACCTGTTTGTGATAATGAACTCCGCGGTTGTAGAGGAGCTGAAGCCGTTTGGGGAAGATAGCATAAAGAACTGTTAACAGCATTTAGGTAATGCAAATGGTTCATGTACCACTGTCTGGCATCATTATAATGGTGCCAGTATTTGGAAAAACACTTGTCTGCATACCAATAATAAGAGTTGTCCATATTCCAAGGCAAGGCTGAAGCAGGTTCATTGGTTTCTGTCCCAGATTCGTTTAGTTCTGGATTCATTTGCTGATATTTACAGAAATTTACCGTTTTATACTTCAAGTTGGAATTTTTTTTCTGTTTTTTTATTGCAATTATTTTTCTCTTTCAGAAGAATTAAATGTTTTGACTTTGGTTGTGTGCTTAGGTTAAAAGAACCAAAATAGAAGCAGTTATATTGGCAGCTTTTCTTTTGAACTTTTCAAGAATTTTAAAAAATAAAACAAACTTCTCTTTTGATTTGTTTTAATTAGTCTTGCAAATAATATTTCCATTTAAAGAATTTTTATTTCATCTTTTTCATTATATTTGGGCATATGGTAAATTTGATTAAGGTGGCACCTGAAAAAAACAAAAATCAAAAACAAATATTAATACACAATTATTTCTTTACAAGAAACTTTATTCAAATTGAACAAAAAGCTTAAGCAATTTTACGACTGATGTCAGTGCGACTTAAGCAATTGAGGAAACAAAAAAAGAAAGTTAATAAATATTTTATATTGTGTTCAAGAATTCTATGAGTTTAGTTACATTAAAATGTCTTTCTTTTCTATTTAAGTGCAGTACTATATTGGCAGCAAGGTCTCATCTTTTTATAGTTGAAATGGCCAGATGTAACCATAAGTTCTATGCTGAGAGTTTCTTTTCTCACACTCCTTGCTTGTGGAACTTTCTTTCAGCTTCTTGCTTTAGAGTCAACTTTGATCTTTAAAAATTTAAATGTAATATTGTTCTCTCTCCTTAATAATGTTGGTCTTGTTCTTATATTCTTTCACACTCTGTAACCCTTTGCATCTTAGTGGCTTAATTGTCTTGCTTGGGGTGAAATGATTAAAAAAAAAACCCAAAAAACAGTTTAAGCATCCATTTAAGCAGTCTTCTGCTTCTTCTCTACCTGAATATTGTTATTTATTGTCCTTTGTAGCAACCCCTTGCATCTTAGGGTCTTTCATCACCTTGCTTGAGGCGAAAAAAATCTCTAAGTACTAATTCTTGCGCAAAAATTAAGCAACCGGAATTAGTTTTGGTTAGAAGCATAAGTTGGCCATTTCACACACACGGTATTGACCTCAATGTCCACTGTCATATAGGTACCTCCACATTTTCACTTTAAAAAAAAAAGAAAAAGAAAAAAAAGCATAGCATAATAAAAAAGACTCCAAACTTAATAAAAAAAAAGATGTATCATCAAAATGTTTATTATTAAGAGGAAAGACCAAAGATTTTTTTTTTAATTATTTAAAGAGTTTTTTTATTACTTTTTTCCATTTTCAAAATCTTAGTTAAAAATCTTGTTTTTTTTTTTTCATCATCTAAGCAAAGTATTAAAAAAACAAGAGAATTTCATTAGAAACAAAGAGTACAGAACTGTTCTCCTATATGGCAGTGAATGCTGGACAATCTTATCACAGATGAAGAAAAGATGTTCAATTTAAAAATACCTGGAAGGTTATCAATGACAGATACTTGTTAGAGGATACAATGCCCAGAATGATGTGACAATACCTGTCAAGGCTCCAGGGTAGACAATAGCCTGAATAAATTAATAAAGAATTACGATAAGTGTTTACCTACCAATCAGAGAAAAATTAATAATTGTAAATTCTTTTTTTTTTTCTCATTCAAATGCAAATTAAACTTTGAAAGTGATTTTTACCCATTCTTTTATGGTTATAGAAATCCATCTATCAATTCTGTGATAAATTTTTTTTTTTTTTTTTAACTTGAAGACTCAACAAGGGAAAGGATACCCCCTTCCCTAAAACTTAACAGAAAATATCTGTTGGTTATAGCTTAGGTACCTCCACGAGATCGCTAAAAAAAGCATAGCATGATGAAAAAGACGTCAAACTTGACAAAAACAAAATTTTATCGTCTAAATGTTTATGTTATTATTAAGAGGAAAGATCAAAGTATTTTTGAGGTATTTTTTTTACATTTTTTAATCGTTCCTAGCACATCCGAAATATTTGTTAAAAATCTTTTTTTTTTAGTCAGCAAAATTGATCATTTTTTTCCATTTTATAAAAAAACTGGAAATCTCACTTTGAAATTCTTTTAAATATCAATTATCATTTTTTCAAAACTTATTTTAAGAAAATCAGATATTATGTTTATTTAAAATATTTTGAACAAAGCTTAACTTAGCGTCTGCACTGAGAAAATGTAATTTGAAAATAAAACAAAGCAGGTCATAAACTTTCGTGTCACTTGACAGGTGATGAATGACATATTGACAGATTCCGTGAGGCTAATTTGTTCTATGGAAGAAGAAAAGTGAAATAATTTACATTTAAGTGAACAAATTATTTACCTCGTTATTTTTAAGGAAAACTTTCAGCACTCTAATTTTTTTTTTTGTACTTAGCTTTCACCTTTACGCTTACGATGCTTTATGGAAAATATATTATAAAGAAATTAAAATAAGACTTAAGAGTGAGATTAAATTTCATACTTCATAAGAAAGGTATCTAATTAATTTATAGGTACCTTTCTTATGAAATTTTATCAGAACTGTACATAAAATACTATAATTTTTATGTACATTTATTACATTTTACTGTGTTATTTGTATTTCCATTCGTTTTATTATTAATTTTGATATTTCATTTATGGAAAAATGTCATAACTGAGATTAATATAAAAATAAGATCATATAAATTTCACAAGATGATACTGATACTTGTAGGTACCCTTTTCAGTTGAAATTGAAAAATCAAATTAACTTCTCCACACGTGTTTCACAAAAGTAAAGGCCTTAACAGCGGAGAAAAATGCTTAACTCAAATAACGCAACTTAATTGTATTCTGGTTGGTCTTCCGTACTTTATAATTTCAGCCCGATTATTAACACAAAGTTACATTTCTTAATTACTGCGGATCTTCTGATTAGTCAAAATGATACAATTTACAATGCGCTAAAAAAGATCTATCTCATACTTAGGAAACCCGATGCGGCTTTTAACTAATTTTATGATATTTTAAAAAATTAAATGTAAAAATCTATTCTAATTAAGAAATAACAAATAATTGTATTAAAAATTCATTTTTCATTGAAAAAATTTTTTGCTTTCAGAAAATATTCTCCATATTCATAAAAACAAAAGCATTTGAAATTAAATAATATCTTTGTTTTATTGAGTTTTGTATGTTACAATTCAGAGCTGATTTTCAGGTGTGTGTGGGGGGGTTCCAATTAAAAACAAAAAAAAACATGGTTTGCATTCCTCAAAGCCTTGTGCTTTTAACTATTGTAATCATTAAAATAGGCTCGATCGAATTTCTAGCGTTTTCATAAAATTAGTTGGGGGGGGTTAATAAATATAAAAAAAAAATATTTCTGCTATGACTTTAATAAAAAAAAACATTTATAATAATTTCGATCATCTGTGAATAGTTCCTGAAAGTTTCATTAACATCCGACAATTATTTTTATTTTTGCAAGATTTTCCAAATTAATGTGTGTCATACCAAAAAAAAAAAAAAAAAAAAAAAAAAAAACGTGCTAAAAATTGTCTATGTTTTTTTATTTTACTAGTTCCGGTGATACAAAGAGAAACAAGGTTTTTTTTTTATCAAAATTTAGAATGTTCTAAAAAGGAGGAAAATTTTTTAAAAATAATTAAAAAAAAAAAAAAAACTTTGGCCTTTCCTCTTAACAGCATTTTAGACGATAAAATTTTGTTTTCGGCAAGGTTGGCGTCTTTTTCATCAAATAATTTTCTTAGCGATTTCGTGGAGGTGAAACTATCAATTAGCCCCAACAAAGAAACACAAAGGATCCAGGATAAACATGACCACAGGTTTAAACCATTTAACAACGATGTTCTAAATGAAATAACGTTGAATGTACTTTACAAACATAATGACTCACTATGCAATTTCATAGTCTAATGCAGTTTCTCGACCTTTTTTTACTTCAGGGCACACTCATAGAAAGCCTGGCGGACACACTTTAAATTTTAATAGGGAAAAATGGTCATGAAATTTGAAAATAATAAAATCAGAAATGAGCACAATACAATGTACAAGTATGGTTGTGTCATTGCTTGATGTGTTTTTTGGCAATTAAAATAAAAGAAATTGCGACCCCAATATTTTCACAAAGTTTTCTAATAAAATAACTTATTCAGTATATACAATTTATTCATTAATGAAGTACTGAATCAGATAATTTCCTGATTTTTGGCATTTTTTTTTTTTAAACAGGAGGTATCAATTTTTTGCTTTCATTTCGGAAAAAAGCACCAATTTAGGTGACACCCTGGGTTTCACCAATTCAAACTATTTTAACAGACTGACTTATCTCCCTTACACCGGACACAAACTTCTTAAATGAAACTCATATTATGAGCTGTCGTTTCGAAACGAAAAGACATTCGAAATCAAATGAAAAAAAAAAAATAGTCTTTGATATTTAATATAATTTATTAAAAAAAAATGTGAAGAAATTTAATTTAAACTGTAACTTGCAGTATAAGCACCAAAAGCCTATGGTAATGAAAATGGGCCATTATTGCCTGATAGTTTCTGGAATTGTCATCAATGGTCAACTGAACTTGCTTTGTTTCAATAAATTTTGTTGAATATAAAAAACAATCCAACAATTGATTAGGAAAAAAATTTTCTAAGAAATTTCTCGAACATTCAGGTCGGTAAATATTGTAATGAGTTTTCTTTTTAAAATGAAGCTTAAATGAATATTTTTTTAATTTGTATAAATTCCTTTTTTCCAATTAAAAGTATGGTTTCTTTGTAGAAAGGAAGCTTTATTAAATAATGAATTCTTGTTTTTTTAATTAGTTTAAATTTGTTAATGTTATAGAAAGAATTGAAAGCTTTTTTAAAATAAATGTCATGAATGAACAACTCTTTTTTTTAAAAAAAAACCCAAAAAAACATCGTTGAAAAGAGGAAAACTTTTTTTTCTTTTTTACAGGCACGTAATTTTTATT